CACTACAGATGCACAGCCTTGGTTAGCAAGCTGGTTTCCTAACAGGGAACAGAATGTGACCAGTCATTTGCCCATTGACTGGGTCTATCTAGGTCTTCAAATTCTAGAACACCCTTGCAATATTTCCTTGTCAAACACTTTTTGAGCATGCCATGCAAAGTCATTTTATAGGCAAAGTAAGGAAGAACAGAAACAATTACCTGGCCCATCGGTGAGATCCCCCAAGCAAGTGATAGCAGCTCTTGAGGACCGGGAACTTGTTCTCCTTCTTCCACACATAGACACGCAAAGAGAGATCAAGCGATGAGGTGATTACTCGGCTTGGGTCCTGGAAATGAAAAGTCAAGAGGGCCGGCATGATGTGGCAGCTTAAACCACTTGGAACACAGGCATCCCACACTACAGAGTCCTCTACTGACACAGCTCCCTGCCAATAGATCTGGGAAAGCAGCACAAGATGGTCCAAGAACTTGGGCCCCTGCCACCCAAGAGGAAGACCTAGAAGTATGGGCTCCCGGCTACATCCTGGACCAATCCTGCCTATTGCAGCTGCTTGGAGAGTGACTCAGTGGATGGAAGACCTCTTTCTCTGTCTTCTTTCTCTGATTTTCAAAGAAAGAAGTCTTCAAAGAGAAAAATATCAAGGGGTAGACTACCAAAGGTGGGAGCTATGACATGGCAGGGGCAGGTACTCACCACCCACACGGACGTGATGGGCCTCTGGTGGTCCTGGAAGGCTGCCAGCTGCAGGCCGTGGATGCTGAACAGCACCAGCTGCAGTCCCGAGACCAGCAGGAGCACCTGCGAGCCATGGCTCCTCATGAGGTTTGGAGGCTTTACGCTGTCTGGCAACAGGAAGCTGGCAATCTGTTGTACTTTTTGAAATTAAAAAAGAGAAAAACAGGTGGGTTTCCCTGATACAGACACAGGCCTCACCTAAGACATGTGGTACACTGAAAAAACAAACAGCTTTGCAGTTAGACCTGCATTCAATCCTAATCCATGCAATTCTTCTACCAAGTCCCCCAGGCGGCAGCTCAAAACTACTGCTGCTTATGGCTCACTGACGAGCAGCAGCAGACTCAATGTCCTCTGTGTGTGTGGAAGCGACTAGCACAACACGCAACACGGAGGAGGGTTGAATAGCTCTAACCCAAATATCCAAAATCTAACACTGTGTCAACATGATGAGGCACAAACAGAAAACGCCACGCTTGACCTCTGATGGATTAACACGTACAAAATGACTTAGAGCACTTATTAAATAAAGTCCTTATGGGATTATTATTAGGTCATAGGTTTAAAACATATATGAAACACTTTAATCTTCTGTTTAGTCTTAGGTCCCATGCCCAAGATAACTCACTGTATATCAGGTAAACATTCCAAAATCAAGGTGGAAAATCCAAGAATCAAAACACTTCCAGGTGTAAATATTTTGGGACAGGGATACCAACTTGGACTATGAAGAAATGCGGCTCTCTTCCTTCTGTGCTTCCTCCCAGGTATGTCTAGGTCATGTCAGAAATGGCCACAGGACACCTATGTGACATGGATGACATCTGCTAAAAATTACTGCTGAGGAAACTGTCCTTTGTACTGTGTAGGATTCCTTTTGACCAAGAAAAAAAAAATGTCCTTGTGAAGATTCCATGTTTTCCCATATCAGTCACAGGATGTGTTACACACGTTCTTTTTTTTTTTTTTTTTTTTTTTTTGCATTTTCCCTCAGCTGCCAGGAATCTCAGAGTGCAAATGTTGGTCAAATTATGGACATGAAAACAAATGGGTAGAATACAATAGAAAACATGGGAGAATCGTAAGGAAGGTTTGGGGGAGCAATGCAAGGCCTGGGAAATAGAGTAGAGGGCCTTTCATTGGAGGAAAGGGCAATCAGAGTAATGGAGGCAGAAAGGTAAGTCAGGAGAGGGCAGGCTAAGAGCATCTGAATGCCAGGGCCACACAGGGTGCCAAACTCAAACCAAGTGCACCACTACTCAACCAGTGCATCAAATCACAGCAGGAGGCCACTCTACCATCTTCTGAGTCTTTCCCAAAGGGAAACTGGCAAAGAGTCATGCTGCAGTGGTGGGGACACACCTGCTGGCCTGCTGGGACCAGCACAGGGACCCTTACCCACAATCTCCACTTCTTGCTTGGACTTCTTGGCCCTTAGCTCATAGGTGCTGACCACCAGCTGCATGCTATTGCCATCTGGGTGCATGACAATCAACCTGGCCGCCTCAGCAGGAGCCCAGCAGGCTTGGGGTCTCAGGCAGCTGGAGAAGGTGGTCAAGACGGGAGGCTCATCGTCCAATGGGTACACCAGAGAGGCTGTGTGGAACACCTGGGGAAGACACCCCTACACAGTCACGCGGCTTCCCAGAGCCAAGCACACGGCAGCACCCAAGCACACAGCACCGCCGCTTCTCACGCCCACATGCATCTTGTGGGGCGGCCCAGGCCAGCTGCACATGCTTTCCACATCAGACCCGACCGGTGGCCTCCCTGCACTCAGCTGCTCTTCCTTGACCACTCACGCCTCACTTGCAGGCCTGATGAAGCTCTCAGCCCTTCCAGCCCTGCCACTCTCCTTGCTCTGACCGCCTTCTTTGACACACTACAGCCAGCAGTCTGCTTCCTGTCGTCAATCAGGCAGCTCGCCTCCTGCACATGAACAGGCGTGTGTGTCTACATGGAGTCAGAACTCTAACTCCCGGGCACGCAGAGGATGGGGATGAGGCACCCACTCACAAATGCAACACAAGGAACACAGCCCAGCTGCAACACTGCCTTCTGCATCAGTGCACGCACCTTCCGTGCCACCAGGATATTCTCCACACCTGACCTGCCCACCCCTCCTAACTTTCAGACACTCAAGCAGTTCCTGAGAAGTTCCACCAAGATCCTCGGACCCCCAACTGTTCTGAATCGACCCCTACTCAGCCGACTCACAGCCAAAAAGCACAGGCTGCAGTGGCATGAGCCAGGTCCAGGAGTGGACTCTGCTAGGGTGAACAGACCTGGGCAAAGGACAGAATGCAACTCACAGTGAGCAACACTCCAGCAGGCTCCACCCGCCAGGCTGTGCCTATGCTCCTGCACAAGCAGCTGCCTTGAGTCCACAGCTCACAACTCCTGGAGTACAGAGCCTTTTCCTCCTCCCAGGAAGCCAGGCTCCAACGAGAAGGGCTCACAAAGCACTGACCTTCGGCTCAAGGTCTGAATTCTGACTTGACGCAAACACCCACTGGCAGTCAGGAGAAGACAGGAGCTGCACGGGAACATTGGGAAATGCAGTCACTCTGGAGACCAGCTGCAGCTGAGGCAGCATCAGAGCGTAGAGGTTCCCCTCAGCACAGGCTGCCTGCGAAGAGAAACAACCCAACTGCTGATGATCAGGTTCCATGGAACAGGGGGAAGAAGGGATGTCTATAAATAATAAGAATGTACTGTGTGTATCAGCCCCGGCCCAGCCATGGATTAGCACCTGCCAGCCCTGAATCAGCCCCGGCACAGCCCCTGCCGAGCCCCGGCCAAACCCAAGCCCACCCCTGGCTCAGCCCCAGCTCAGCCCCAGCTCAGCCCCAGCCCAGCCCAGCCCAGCCCCAGCCGAGCCCCTGCCCAGCCCCAGATCATCCCCAGTCCAGCCCCATATCAGCCCCAGAAAGCCCCTGCCCAGACCCAACCCAGACTCGGCCCAGACCCAGCCCAGCCCCGGCCCAGCCCCAGCACAGCCCCAGCTCCGCCCCTGCCCAGCCCCTGCCAAGCCCCAGCCCAGCCCCGGATCCGCCCTGGCTCAGCCCCTGCTCAACCCCGGCCCAGCCCCGGCCCAGCCTCACCCCAGCCCCTGCTCCACCCCTGCGCAGCCCCTGCCCAGCCCCTGCTCAGCCCCAGCCCAGCCCTGGATCAGCCCTGGCTCAGCCCCTGCCCAGCCCCAGCCCAGCCTCAGCCCAACCCCGGCCCAGCCCTGGATCAGCCCCTGCCAGCCCTGATTCAGCCCCGGCCCCGCCCGGGCCCACCCCGGCCCAGCCTCGGCCCACCACCGGCCCACCCCTGGCTCAGCCCCGGCTCAGCCCCTTCTCAGCCCCTGCCCAGCCCCAGCCCAGCCCCAGCTCTGCCCCGGTCCAGCCCCGGATCAGCCCTGGCCAAGCCCCGGCCAGACCATGCTGTGTCCCTGCCCAGCCCTGCAATAGCCCTGGATTAGCCCTGGGCCAACCCCGGCTCCGAACCCGACCCAGCCCTGAATCAGCCCCGGACCAGCCATGGTCAGCTCCTACCCAGCCCTGGATCAGCCCCGAACCAGCCCCAGACCAGCCCCAGACCAGCCCCAGACCAGCCCCAGACCAGCCCCGTCAAAGCCCAGTTCTCCCCAGCCCAGCCCCAGCCCAGCCCTGCCCAGCCTCGACCCAGCCCCTGCCCAGCACCGGCCCAGCCTCAACACAGCCCTTGCCTAGCCCCGACCAGCCCCAGCCCAGTGTGGCCCAACCCCAACCCAGCCCCATCCTAACCCCTGCCCAGCCCCAATGCAGCCCCAGCCCAGCCCCGCCCCAACCAGCCATGGTTCAGCTGCAGCCCAGCCCTGGCCCAGACCAAAATCAGCCTCGGACCAGTCCTGGATCAGTCCCGGCCAAGCCCTGACCCAGCCCCGGACTAGACCCAGCCCATGCCTGGATCCAGCCCCTGCCCAGATCTGCCCTGCCCCGGCCAAGCCCCAGCCCAGCCCAGCCCAGCCATGGCCCAGCCCAGGATCAGCCACGGCCTAGCCCTGGATCAGCCTCGGCCCAGCCCTTACAACTAACAATTTTGCTTACAACTAACAATTGGGAAATTCTCATTAGCCCAAGCAAAGTACCTATGCTGACCAATTCCAGGCAGGGCCATTGAGGCTAAAGCAAGAATGGCAGACCTTAAGTCATCAAGCAGTACCATAGTTATCAATGCTGCACCAGCAAAAACTACGTGTTCATGTGAACAAAAGCACACAAGACAGATTAGAGAAAAATATGTATTTAACTACAGAATTGGACAACAACAACAACAACACATCATAATCCCAGTACATTCAATGTGCACTTGTCAGTACCCACACACTTAAGTTACCCATTCTCTGTCTCTTACTGTCTCTATGGTCTTGTGCAAGATGCTCAGCAGCTCCAAGATGGGCTACTAACAGGCTCCTTCTCTCATTCTGTGTTCCTTGTGTAAAAAGCAGGAACAATAGCACCTGTTTCACTGGCTTGCTGACAGAATTCAAGAGCAAAGCCATTGCCGGTGCCTGGGACAGTGTCGACATCTAGGCATTTCTCATTCCTTTCCCAATACCCATGACATAACCCATTCAGTCTTTGTATCTCTACAAGCCCTTTTACCAAAGTGAAAATATCTTGGATATGGTGCAGTCCTCTCAGCCACGCTCCACTTTGAAGCAGAATGACCTCAGAACACTCGTTCCAACGCTTCTGGCTTCTATGCCTACGATACTCATGCTGTCACTTTCCACATGCATGTACCCACTGCAAAGAGAAGGGCCAGGCTGGGTGTCAAGGGGAGAAAAGGCAAACATGGAAGTGGTCAAAGCCTTCCCATGGAGGCGGGGCCCAGCTTCCCCCAGCAGCTGCCATCCCACCTCGCCTTCCCTTGGCCTTTGACTCTGCAACAGTGAACAAGTGCTGGCACACTGTCTGGTGGGAGCAGTGGTTCTGGCTCCTCCTGACAGTGGCTGCTTCAGTCACACTGTCTCCAGACATGCTAGGAAATTCTGAGAGAGGAGCAGGGGGACTGGTCTCATCTCAGCAATTCTAAGCTAGCGCCCCACAATTTAGAATTGTCAATTCCTATGAGTCAGATGATTTCTTTGATGAAGGAGATGAACTACGTGAGCTGGAAAGGTACACTTGTTTTCTTCCATAAAGTCAGAATCAGGACCTAGCACAGGTCTGGCTGCCATCTCTAGGGAACGCATCCACATCTATATGTTCGTTTTCATCTGCAACACAGGTGCAATGCCAGCTGTATGAGGTAGTTTGCACACTACAGATGCACAGCCTTGGTTAGCAAGCTGGTTTCCTAACAGGGAACAGAATGTGACCAGTCATTTGCCCATTGACTGGGTCTATCTAGGTCTTCAAATTCTAGAACACCCTTGCAATATTTCCCTGTCAAATACTTTTTGAGCATGCCATGCAAAGTCATTTTATAGGCAAAGTAAGGAAGAACAGAAACAATTACCTGGCCCATCGGTGAGATCCCCCAAGCAAGTGATAGCAGCTCTTGAGGACCGGGAACTTGTTCTCCTTCTTCCACACATAGACACGCAAAGAGAGATCAAGCGATGAGGTGATTACTCGGCTTGGGTCCTGGAAATGAAAAGTCAAGAGGGCCGGCATGATGTGGCAGCTTAAACCACTTGGAACACAGGCATCCCACACTACAGAGTCCTCTACTGACACAGCTCCCTGCCAATAGATCTGGGAAAGCAGCACAAGATGGTCCAAGAACTTGGGCCCCTGCCACCCAAGAGGAAGACCTAGAAGTATGGGCTCCCGGCTACATCCTGGACCAATCCTGCCTATTGCAGCTGCTTGGAGAGTGACTCAGTGGATGGAAGACCTCTTTCTCTGTCTTCTTTCTCTGATTTTCAAAGAAAGAAGTCTTCAAAGAGAAAAATATCAAGGGGTAGACTACCAAAGGTGGGAGCTATGACATGGCAGGGGCAGGTACTCACCACCCACACGGACGTGATGGGCCTCTGGTGGTCCTGGAAGGCTGCCAGCTGCAGGCCGTGGATGCTGAACAGCACCAGCTGCAGTCCCGAGACCAGCAGGAGCACCTGCGAGCCATGGCTCCTCATGAGGTTTGGAGGCTTTACGCTGTCTGGCAACAGGAAGCTGGCAATCTGTTGTACTTTTTGAAATTAAAAAAGAGAAAAACAGGTGGGTTTCCCTGATACAGACACAGGCCTCACCTAAGACATGTGGTACACTGAAAAAACAAACAGCTTTGCAGTTAGACCTGCATTCAATCCTAATCCATGCAATTCTTCTACCAAGTCCCCCAGGCGGCAGCTCAAAACTACTGCTGCTTATGGCTCACTGACGAGCAGCAGCAGACTCAATGTCCTCTGTGTGTGTGGAAGCGACTAGCACAACACGCAACACGGAGGAGGGGTTGAATAGCTCTAACCCAAATATCCAAAATCTAACACTGTGTCAACATGATGAGGCACAAACAGAAAACGCCACGCTTGACCTCTGATGGATTAACACGTACAAAATGACTTAGAGCACTTATTAAATAAAGTCCTTATGGGATTATTATTAGGTCATAGGTTTAAAACATATATGAAACACTTTAATCTTCTGTTTAGTCTTAGGTCCCATGCCCAAGATAACTCACTGTATATCAGGTAAACATTCCAAAATCAAGGTGGAAAATCCAAGAATCAAAACACTTCCAGGTGTAAATATTTTGGGACAGGGATACCAACTTGGACTATGAAGAAATGCGGCTCTCTTCCTTCTGTGCTTCCTCCCAGGTATGTCTAGGTCATGTCAGAAATGGCCACAGGACACCTATGTGACATGGATGACATCTGCTAAAAATTACTGCTGAGGAAACTGTCCTTTGTACTGTGTAGGATTCCTTTTGACCAAGAAAAAAAAAATGTCCTTGTGAAGATTCCATGTTTTCCCATATCAGTCACAGGATGTGTTACACACGTTCTTTTTTTTTTTTTTTTTTTTTTTTTGCATTTTCCCTCAGCTGCCAGGAATCTCAGAGTGCAAATGTTGGTCAAATTATGGACATGAAAACAAATGGGTAGAATACAATAGAAAACATGGGAGAATCGTAAGGAAGGTTTGGGGGAGCAATGCAAGGCCTGGGAAATAGAGTAGAGGGCCTTTCATTGGAGGAAAGGGCAATCAGAGTAATGGAGGCAGAAAGGTAAGTCAGGAGAGGGCAGGCTAAGAGCATCTGAATGCCAGGGCCACACAGGGTGCCAAACTCAAACCAAGTGCACCACTACTCAACCAGTGCATCAAATCACAGCAGGAGGCCACTCTACCATCTTCTGAGTCTTTCCCAAAGGGAAACTGGCAAAGAGTCATGCTGCAGTGGTGGGGACACACCTGCTGGCCTGCTGGGACCAGCACAGGGACCCTTACCCACAATCTCCACTTCTTGCTTGGACTTCTTGGCCCTTAGCTCATAGGTGCTGACCACCAGCTGCATGCTATTGCCATCTGGGTGCATGACAATCAACCTGGCCGCCTCAGCAGGAGCCCAGCAGGCTTGGGGTCTCAGGCAGCTGGAGAAGGTGGTCAAGACGGGAGGCTCATCGTCCAATGGGTACACCAGAGAGGCTGTGTGGAACACCTGGGGAAGACACCCCTACACAGTCACGCGGCTTCCCAGAGCCAAGCACACGGCAGCACCCAAGCACACAGCACCGCCGCTTCTCACGCCCACATGCATCTTGTGGGGCGGCCCAGGCCAGCTGCACATGCTTTCCACATCAGACCCGACCGGTGGCCTCCCTGCACTCAGCTGCTCTTCCTTGACCACTCACGCCTCACTTGCAGGCCTGATGAAGCTCTCAGCCCTTCCAGCCCTGCCACTCTCCTTGCTCTGACCGCCTTCTTTGACACACTACAGCCAGCAGTCTGCTTCCTGTCGTCAATCAGGCAGCTCGCCTCCTGCACATGAACAGGCGTGTGTGTCTACATGGAGTCAGAACTCTAACTCCCGGGCACGCAGAGGATGGGGATGAGGCACCCACTCACAAATGCAACACAAGGAACACAGCCCAGCTGCAACACTGCCTTCTGCATCAGTGCACGCACCTTCCGTGCCACCAGGATATTCTCCACACCTGACCTGCCCACCCCTCCTAACTTTCAGACACTCAAGCAGTTCCTGAGAAGTTCCACCAAGATCCTCGGACCCCCAACTGTTCTGAATCGACCCCTACTCAGCCGACTCACAGCCAAAAAGCACAGGCTGCAGTGGCATGAGCCAGGTCCAGGAGTGGACTCTGCTAGGGTGAACAGACCTGGGCAAAGGACAGAATGCAACTCACAGTGAGCAACACTCCAGCAGGCTCCACCCGCCAGGCTGTGCCTATGCTCCTGCACAAGCAGCTGCCTTGAGTCCACAGCTCACAACTCCTGGAGTACAGAGCCTTTTCCTCCTCCCAGGAAGCCAGGCTCCAACGAGAAGGGCTCACAAAGCACTGACCTTCGGCTCAAGGTCTGAATTCTGACTTGACGCAAACACCCACTGGCAGTCAGGAGAAGACAGGAGCTGCACGGGAACATTGGGAAATGCAGTCACTCTGGAGACCAGCTGCAGCTGAGGCAGCATCAGAGCGTAGAGGTTCCCCTCAGCACAGGCTGCCTGCGAAGAGAAACAACCCAACTGCTGATGATCAGGTTCCATGGAACAGGGGGAAGAAGGGATGTCTATAAATAATAAGAATGTACTGTGTGTATCAGCCCCGGCCCAGCCATGGATTAGCACCTGCCAGCCCTGAATCAGCCCCGGCACAGCCCCTGCCGAGCCCCGGCCAAACCCAAGCCCACCCCTGGCTCAGCCCCAGCTCAGCCCCAGCTCAGCCCCAGCCCAGCCCCAGCCCAGCCCCAGCCGAGCCCCTGCCCAGCCCCAGATCATCCCCAGTCCAGCCCCATATCAGCCCCAGAAAGCCCCTGCCCAGACCCAACCCAGACTCGGCCCAGACCCAGCCCAGCCCCGGCCCAGCCCCAGCACAGCCCCAGCTCCGCCCCTGCCCAGCCCCTGCCAAGCCCCAGCCCAGCCCCGGATCCGCCCTGGCTCAGCCCCTGCTCAACCCCGGCCCAGCCCCGGCCCAGCCTCACCCCAGCCCCTGCTCCACCCCTGCGCAGCCCCTGCCCAGCCCCTGCTCAGCCCCAGCCCAGCCCTGGATCAGCCCTGGCTCAGCCCCTGCCCAGCCCCAGCCCAGCCTCAGCCCAACCCCGGCCCAGCCCTGGATCAGCCCCTGCCAGCCCTGATTCAGCCCCGGCCCCGCCCGGGCCCACCCCGGCCCAGCCTCGGCCCACCACCGGCCCACCCCTGGCTCAGCCCCGGCTCAGCCCCTTCTCAGCCCCTGCCCAGCCCCAGCCCAGCCCCAGCTCTGCCCCGGTCCAGCCCCGGATCAGCCCTGGCCAAGCCCCGGCCAGACCATGCTGTGTCCCTGCCCAGCCCTGCAATAGCCCTGGATTAGCCCTGGGCCAACCCCGGCTCCGAACCCGACCCAGCCCTGAATCAGCCCCGGACCAGCCATGGTCAGCTCCTACCCAGCCCTGGATCAGCCCCGAACCAGCCCCAGACCAGCCCCAGACCAGCCCCAGACCAGCCCCAGACCAGCCCCGTCAAAGCCCAGTTCTCCCCAGCCCAGCCCCAGCCCAGCCCTGCCCAGCCTCGACCCAGCCCCTGCCCAGCACCGGCCCAGCCTCAACACAGCCCTTGCCTAGCCCCGACCAGCCCCAGCCCAGTGTGGCCCAACCCCAACCCAGCCCCATCCTAACCCCTGCCCAGCCCCAATGCAGCCCCAGCCCAGCCCCGCCCCAACCAGCCATGGTTCAGCTGCAGCCCAGCCCTGGCCCAGACCAAAATCAGCCTCGGACCAGTCCTGGATCAGTCCCGGCCAAGCCCTGACCCAGCCCCGGACTAGACCCAGCCCATGCCTGGATCCAGCCCCTGCCCAGATCTGCCCTGCCCCGGCCAAGCCCCAGCCCAGCCCAGCCCAGCCATGGCCCAGCCCAGGATCAGCCACGGCCTAGCCCTGGATCAGCCTCGGCCCAGCCCTTACAACTAACAATTTTGCTTACAACTAACAATTGGGAAATTCTCATTAGCCCAAGCAAAGTACCTATGCTGACCAATTCCAGGCAGGGCCATTGAGGCTAAAGCAAGAATGGCAGACCTTAAGTCATCAAGCAGTACCATAGTTATCAATGCTGCACCAGCAAAAACTACGTGTTCATGTGAACAAAAGCACACAAGACAGATTAGAGAAAAATATGTATTTAACTACAGAATTGGACAACAACAACAACAACAACACATCATAATCCCAGTACATTCAATGTGCACTTGTCAGTACCCACACACTTAAGTTACCCATTCTCTGTCTCTTACTGTCTCTATGGGCTTGTGCAAGCTGCTCAGCAGCTCCAAGATGGGCTACTAACAGGCTCCTTCTCTCATTCTGTGTTCCTTGTGTAAAAAGCAGGAACAATAGCACCTGTTTCACTGGCTTGCTGACAGAATTCAAGAGCAAAGCCATTGCCGGTGCCTGGGACAGTGTCGACATCTAGGCATTTCTCATTCCTTTCCCAATACCCATGACATAACCCATTCAGTCTTTGTATCTCTACAAGCCCTTTTACCAAAGTGAAAATATCTTGGATATGGTGCAGTCCTCTCAGCCACGCTCCACTTTGAAGCAGAATGACCTCAGAACACTCGTTCCAACGCTTCTGGCTTCTATGCCTACGATACTCATGCTGTCACTTTCCACATGCATGTACCCACTGCAAAGAGAAGGGCCAGGCTGGGTGTCAAGGGGAGAAAAGGCAAACATGGAAGTGGTCAAAGCCTTCCCATGGAGGCGGGGCCCAGCTTCCCCCAGCAGCTGCCATCCCACCTCGCCTTCCCTTGGCCTTTGACTCTGCAACAGTGAACAAGTGCTGGCACACTGTCTGGTGGGAGCAGTGGTTCTGGCTCCTCCTGACAGTGGCTGCTTCAGTCACACTGTCTCCAGACATGCTAGGAAATTCTGAGAGAGGAGCAGGGGGACTGGTCTCATCTCAGCAATTCTAAGCTAGCGCCCCACAATTTAGAATTGTCAATTCCTATGAGTCAGATGATTTCTTTGATGAAGGAGATGAACTACGTGAGCTGGAAAGGTACACTTGTTTTCTTCCATAAAGTCAGAATCAGGACCTAGCACAGGTCTGGCTGCCATCTCTAGGGAACGCATCCACATCTATATGTTCGTTTTCATCTGCAACACAGGTGCAATGCCAGCTGTATGAGGTAGTTTGCACACTACAGATGCACAGCCTTGGTTAGCAAGCTGGTTTCCTAACAGGGAACAGAATGTGACCAGTCATTTGCCCATTGACTGGGTCTATCTAGGTCTTCAAATTCTAGAACACCCTTGCAATATTTCCTTGTCAAATACTTTTTGAGCATGCCATGCAAAGTCATTTTATAGGCAAAGTAAGGAAGAACAGAAACAATTACCTGGCCCATCGGTGAGATCCCCCAAGCAAGTGATAGCAGCTCTTGAGGACCGGGAACTTGTTCTCCTTCTTCCACACATAGACACGCAAAGAGAGATCAAGCGATGAGGTGATTACTCGGCTTGGGTCCTGGAAATGAAAAGTCAAGAGGGCCGGCATGATGTGGCAGCTTAAACCACTTGGAACACAGGCATCCCACACTACAGAGTCCTCTACTGACACAGCTCCCTGCCAATAGATCTGGGAAAGCAGCACAAGATGGTCCAAGAACTTGGGCCCCTGCCACCCAAGAGGAAGACCTAGAAGTATGGGCTCCCGGCTACATCCTGGACCAATCCTGCCTATTGCAGCTGCTTGGAGAGTGACTCAGTGGATGGAAGACCTCTTTCTCTGTCTTCTTTCTCTGATTTTCAAAGAAAGAAGTCTTCAAAGAGAAAAATATCAAGGGGTAGACTACCAAAGGTGGGAGCTATGACATGGCAGGGGCAGGTACTCACCACCCACACGGACGTGATGGGCCTCTGGTGGTCCTGGAAGGCTGCCAGCTGCAGGCCGTGGATGCTGAACAGCACCAGCTGCAGTCCCGAGACCAGCAGGAGCACCTGCGAGCCATGGCTCCTCATGAGGTTTGGAGGCTTTACGCTGTCTGGCAACAGGAAGCTGGCAATCTGTTGTACTTTTTGAAATTAAAAAAGAGAAAAACAGGTGGGTTTCCCTGATACAGACACAGGCCTCACCTAAGACATGTGGTACACTGAAAAAACAAACAGCTTTGCAGTTAGACCTGCATTCAATCCTAATCCATGCAATTCTTCTACCAAGTCCCCCAGGCGGCAGCTCAAAACTACTGCTGCTTATGGCTCACTGACGAGCAGCAGCAAAGACTCAATGTCCTCTGTGTGTGTGGAAGTGACTAGCACAACACGCAACATGGAGGAAGGGTTGAATAGCTCTAACCCAAATATCCAAAATCTAACACTGTGTCAACATGATGAGGCACAAACAGAAAACGCCACGCTTGACCTCTGATGGATTAACACGTACAAAATGACTTAGAGCACTTATTAAATAAAGTCCTTATGGGATTATTATTAGGCCATAGGTTTAAAACATATATGAAACACTTTAATCTTCTGTTTAGTCTTAGGTCCCATGCCCAAGATAACTCACTGTATATCAGGTAAACATTCCAAAATCAAGGTGGAAAATCCAAGAATCAAAACACTTCCAGGTGTAAATATTTTGGGACAGGGATACCAACTTGGACTATGAAGAAATGCGGCTCTCTTCCTTCTGTGCTTCCTCCCAGGTATGTCTAGGTCATGTCAGAAATGGCCACAGGACACCTATGTGACATGGATGACATCTGCTAAAAATTACTGCTGAGGAAACTGTCCTTTGTACTGTGTAGAATTCCTTTTGACCAAGAAAAAAAAAATGTCCTTGTGAAGATTCCATGTTTTCCCATATCAGTCACAGGATGTGTTACACATGTTCTTTTTTTTTTTTTTTTTTTTTTTTTTTGCATTTTCCCTCAGCTGCCAGGAATCTCAGAGTGCAAATGTTGGTCAAATTATGGACATGAAAACAAATGGGTAGAATACAATAGAAAACATGGGAGAATCGTAAGGAAGGTTTGGGGGAGCAATGCAAGGCCTGGGAAATAGAGTAGAGGGCCTTTCATTGGAGGAAAGGGCAATCAGAGTAATGGAGGCAGAAAGGTAAGTCAGGAGAGGGCAGGCTAAGAGCATCTGAATGCCAGGGCCACACAGGGTGCCAAACTCAAACCAAGTGCACCACTACTCAACCAGTGCATCAAATCACAGCAGGAGGCCACTCTACCATCTCCTGAGTCTTTCCCAAAGGGAAACTGGCAAAGAGTCATGCTGCAGTGGTGGGGACACACCTGCTGGCCTGCTGGGACCAGCACAGGGACCCTTACCCACAATCTCCACTTCTTGCTTGGACTTCTTGGCCCTTAGCTCATAGGTGCTGACCACCAGCTGCATGCTATTGCCATCTGGGTGCATGACAATCAACCTGGCCGCCTCAGCAGGAGCCCAGCAGGCTTGGGGTCTCAGGCAGCTGGAGAAGGTGGTCAAGACGGGAGGCTCATCGTCCAATGGGTACACCAGAGAGGCTGTGTGGAACACCTGGGGAAGACACCCCTACACAGTCACGCGGCTTCCCAGAGCCAAGCACACGGCAGCACCCAAGCACACAGCACCGCCGCTTCTCACGCCCACATGCATCTTGTGGGGCGGCCCAGGCCAGCTGCACATGCTTTCCACATCAGACCCGACCGGTGGCCTCCCTGCACTCAGCTGCTCTTCCTTGACCACTCACGCCTCACTTGCAGGCCTGATGAAGCTCTCAGCCCTTCCAGCCCTGCCACTCTCCTTGCTCTGACCGCCTTCTTTGACACACTACAGCCAGCAGTCTGCTTCCTGTCGTCAATCAGGCAGCTCGCCTCCTGCACATGAACAGGCGTGTGTGTCTACATGGAGTCAGAACTCTAACTCCCGGGCACGCAGAGGATGGGGATGAGGCACCCACTCACAAATGCAACACAAGGAACACAGCCCAGCTGCAACACTGCCTTCTGCATCAGTGCACGCACCTTCCGTGCCACCAGGATATTCTCCACACCTGACCTGCCCACCCCTCCTAACTTTCAGACACTCAAGCAGTTCCTGAGAAGTTCCACCAAGATCCTCGGACCCCCAACTGTTCTGAATCGACCCCTACTCAGCCGACTCACAGCCAAAAAGCACAGGCTGCAGTGGCATGAGCCAGGTCCAGGAGTGGACTCTGCTAGGGTGAACAGACCTGGGCAAAGGACAGAATGCAACTCACAGTGAGCAACACTCCAGCAGGCTCCACCCGCCAGGCTGTGCCTATGCTCCTGCACAAGCAGCTGCCTTGAGTCCACAGCTCACAACTCCTGGAGTACAGAGCCTTTTCCTCCTCCCAGGAAGCCAGGCTCCAACGAGAAGGGCTCACAAAGCACTGACCTTCGGCTCAAGGTCTGAATTCTGACTTGACGCAAACACCCACTGGCAGTCAGGAGAAGACAGGAGCTGCACGGGAACATTGGGAAATGCAGTCACTCTGGAGACCAGCTGCAGCTGAGGCAGCATCAGAGCGTAGAGGTTCCCCTCAGCACAGGCTGCCTGCGAAGAGAAACAACCCAACTGCTGATGATCAGGTTCCATGGAACAGGGGGAAGAAGGGATGTCTATAAATAATAAGAATGTACTGTGTGTATCAGCCCCGGCCCAGCCATGGATTAGCACCTGCCAGCCCTGAATCAGCCCCGGCACAGCCCCTGCCGAGCCCCGGCCAAACCCAAGCCCACCCCTGGCTCAGCCCCAGCTCAGCCCCAGCCCAGCCCCAGCTGAGCCCCTGCCCAGCCCCAGATCATCCCCAGTCCACCCCATATCAGCCCCAGAAAGCCCCTGCCCAGACCCAACCCAGACTCGGCCCAGACCCAGCCCAGCCCCGGCCCAGCCCCAGCACAGCCCCAGCTCCGCCCCTGCCCAGCCCCTGCCAAGCCCCAGCCCAGCCCCGGATCCGCCCTGGCTCAGCCCCTGCTCAACCCCGGCCCAGCCCCGGCCCAGCCTCACCCCAGCCCCTGCTCCACCCCTGCTCAGCCCCTGCCCAGCCCCTGCTCAGCCCCAGCCCAGCCCTGGCTCAGCCCTGGCTCAGCCCCTGCCCAGCCCCAGCCCAGCCTCAGCCCAACCCCGGCCCAGCCCTGGATCAGCCCCTGCCAGCCCTGATTCAGCCCCGGCCCCACCCGGGCCCACCCCGGCCCAGCCTCGGCCCACCACCGGCCCACCCCTGGCTCAGCCCCGGCTCAGCCCCTTCTCAGCCCCTGCCCAGCCCCAGCCCAGCCCCAGCTCTGCCCCAGTCCAGCCCCGGATCAGCCCTGGCCAAGCCCCGGCCAGACCATGCTGTGTCCCTGCCCAGCCCTGCAATAGCCCTGGATTAGCCCTGGCCCAACCCCGGCTCCGAACCCGACCCAGCCCTGAATCAGCCCCGGACCAGCCATGGTCAGCTCCTACCCAGCCCTGGATCAGCCCCGAACCAGCCCCAGACCAGCCCCAGACCAGCCCCAGACCAGCCCCGTCAAAGCCCAGTTCTCCCCAGCCCAGCCCCAGCCCAGCCCCTGCCCAGCACCGGCCCAGCCTCAACACAGCCCTTGCCTAGCCCCGACCAGCCCCAGCCCAGTGTGGCCCAACCCCAACCCAGCCCCATCCTAACCCCTGCCCAGCCCCAATGCAGCCCCAGCCCAGCCCCGCCCCAACCAGCCATGGTTCAGCTGCAGCCCAGCCCTGGCCCAGACCAAAATCAGCCTCGGACCAGTCCTGGATCAGTCCCGGCCAAGCCCTGACCCAGCCCCGGACTAGACCCAGCCCATGCCTGGATCCAGCCCCTGCCCAGATCTGCCCTGCCCCGGCCAAGCCCCAGCCCAGCCCAGCCCAGCCATGGCCCAGCCCAGGATCAGCCACGGCCTAGCCCTGGATCAGCCTCGGCCCAGCCCTTACAACTAACAATTTTGCTTACAACTAACAATTGGGAAATTCTCATTAGCCCAAGCAAAGTACCTATGCTGACCAATTCCAGGCAGGGCCATTGAGGCTAAAGCAAGAATGGCAGACCTTAAGTCATCAAGCAGTACCATAGTTATCAATGCTGCACCAGCAAAAACTACGTGTTCATGTGAACAAAAGCACACAAGACAGATTAGAGAAAAATATGTATTTAACTACAGGATTGGACAACAACAACAACACATCATAATCCCAGTACATTCAATGTGCACTTGTCAGTACCCACACACTTAAGTTACCCATTCTCTGTCTCTTACTGTCTCTATGGTCTTGTGCAAGATGCTCAGCAGCTCCAAGATGGGCTACTAACAGGCTCCTTCTCTCATTCTGTGTTCCTTGTGTAAAAAGCAGGAACAATAGCACCTGTTTCACTGGCTTGCTGACAGAATTCAAGAGCAAAGCCATTGCCGGTGCCTGGGACAGTGTCGACATCTAGGCATTTCTCATTCCTTTCCCAATACCCATGACATAACCCATTCAGTCTTTGTATCTCTACAAGCCCTTTTACCAAAGTGAAAATATCTTGGATATGGTGCAGTCCTCTCAGCCACGCTCCACTTTGAAGCAGAATGACCTCAGAACACTCGTTCCAACGCTTCTGGCTTCTATGCCTACGATACTCATGCTGTCACTTTCCACATGCATGTACCCACTGCAAAGAGAAGGGCCAGGCTGGGTGTCAAGGGGAGAAAAGGCAAACATGGAAGTGGTCAAAGCCTTCCCATGGAGGCGGGGCCCAGCTTCCCCCAGCAGCTGCCATCCCACCTCGCCTTCCCTTGGCCTTTGACTCTGCAACAGTGAACAAGTGCTGGCACACTGTCTGGTGGGAGCAGTGGTTCTGGCTCCTCCTGACAGTGGCTGCTTCAGTCACACTGTCTCCAGACATGCTAGGAAATTCTGAGAGAGGAGCAGGGGGACTGGTCTCATCTCAGCAATTCTAAGCTAGCGCCCCACAATTTAGAATTGTCAATTCCTATGAGTCAGATGATTTCTTTGATGAAGGAGATGAACTACGTGAGCTGGAAAGGTACACTTGTTTTCTTCCATAAAGTCAGAATCAGGACCTAGCACAGGTCTGGCTGCCATCTCTAGGGAACGCATCCACATCTATATGTTCGTTTTCATCTGCAACACAGGTGCAATGCCAGCTGTATGAGGTAGTTTGCACACTACAGATGCACAGCCTTGGTTAGCAAGCTGGTTTCCTAACAGGGAACAGAATGTGACCAGTCATTTGCCCATTGACTGGGTCTATCTAGGTCTTCAAATTCTAGAACACCCTTGCAATATTTCCCTGTCAAATACTTTTTGAGCATGCCATGCAAAGTCATTTTATAGGCAAAGTAAGGAAGAACAGAAACAATTACCTGGCCCATCGGTGAGATCCCCCAAGCAAGTGATAGCAGCTCTTGAGGACCGGGAACTTGTTCTCCTTCTTCCACACATAGACACGCAAAGAGAGATCAAGCGATGAGGTGATTACTCGGCTTGGGTCCTGGAAATGAAAAGTCAAGAGGGCCGGCATGATGTGGCAGCTTAAACCACTTGGAACACAGGCATCCCACACTACAGAGTCCTCTACTGACACAGCTCCCTGCCAATAGATCTGGGAAAGCAGCACAAGATGGTCCAAGAACTTGGGCCCCTGCCACCCAAGAGGAAGACCTAGAAGTATGGGCTCCCGGCTACATCCTGGACCAATCCTGCCTATTGCAGCTGCTTGGAGAGTGACTCAGTGGATGGAAGACCTCTTTCTCTGTCTTCTTTCTCTGATTTTCAAAGAAAGAAGTCTTCAAAGAGAAAAATATCAAGGGGTAGACTACCAAAGGTGGGAGCTATGACATGGCAGGGGCAGGTACTCACCACCCACACGGACGTGATGGGCCTCTGGTGGTCCTGGAAGGCTGCCAGCTGCAGGCCGTGGATGCTGAACAGCACCAGCTGCAGTCCCGAGACCAGCAGGAGCACCTGCGAGCCATGGCTCCTCATGAGGTTTGGAGGCTTTACGCTGTCTGGCAACAGGAAGCTGGCAATCTGTTGTACTTTTTGAAATTAAAAAAGAGAAAAACAGGTGGGTTTCCCTGATACAGACACAGGCCTCACCTAAGACATGTGGTACACTGAAAAAACAAACAGCTTTGCAGTTAGACCTGCATTCAATCCTAATCCATGCAATTCTTCTACCAAGTCCCCCAGGCGGCAGCTCAAAACTACTGCTGCTTATGGCTCACTGACGAGCAGCAGCAAAGACTCAATGTCCTCTGTGTGTGTGGAAGTGACTAGCACAACACGCAACATGGAGGAAGGGTTGAATAGCTCTAACCCAAATATCCAAAATCTAACACTGTGTCAACATGATGAGGCACAAACAGAAAACGCCACGCTTGACCTCTGATGGATTAACACGTACAAAATGACTTAGAGCACTTATTAAATAAAGTCCTTATGGGATTATTATTAGGCCATAGGTTTAAAACATATATGAAACACTTTAATCTTCTGTTTAGTCTTAGGTCCCATGCCCAAGATAACTCACTGTATATCAGGTAAACATTCCAAAATCAAGGTGGAAAATCCAAGAATCAAAACACTTCCAGGTGTAAATATTTTGGGACAGGGATACCAACTTGGACTATGAAGAAATGCGGCTCTCTTCCTTCTGTGCTTCCTCCCAGGTATGTCTAGGTCATGTCAGAAATGGCCACAGGACACCTATGTGACATGGATGACATCTGCTAAAAATTACTGCTGAGGAAACTGTCCTTTGTACTGTGTAGGATTCCTTTTGACCAAGAAAAAAAAATGTCCTTGTGAAGATTCCATGTTTTCCCATATCAGTCACAGGATGTGTTACACATGTTCTTTTTTTTTTGCATTTTCCCTCAGCTGCCAGGAATCTGAGTGCAAATGTTGGTCAAATTATGGACATGAAAACAAATGGGTAGAATACAATAGAAAACATGGGAGAATCGTAAGGAAGGTTTGGGGGAGCAATGCAAGGCCTGGGAAATAGAGTAGAGGGCCTTTCATTGGAGGAAAGGGCAATCAGAGTAATGGAGGCAGAAAGGTAAGTCAGGAGAGGGCAGGCTAAGAGCATCTGAATGCCAGGGCCACACAGGGTGCCAAACTCAAACCAAGTGCACCACTACTCAACCAGTGCCCTAATCAAATCACAGCAGGAGGCCACTCTACCATCTCCTGAGTCTTTCCCAAAGGGAAACTGGCAAAGAGTCATGCTGCAGTGGTGGGGACACACCTGCTGGCCTGCTGGGACCAGCACAGGGACCCTTACCCACAATCTCCACTTCTTGCTTGGACTTCTTGGCCCTTAGCTCATAGGTGCTGACCACCAGCTGCATGCTATTGCCATCTGGGTGCATGACAATCAACCTGGCCGCCTCAGCAGGAGCCCAGCAGGCTTGGGGTCTCAGGCAGCTGGAGAAGGTGGTCAAGACGGGAGGCTCATCGTCCAATGGGTACACCAGAGAGGCTGTGTGGAACACCTGGGGAAGACACCCCTACACAGTCACGCGGCTTCCCAGAGCCAAGCACACGGCAGCACCCAAGCACACAGCACCGCCGCTTCTCACGCCCACATGCATCTTGTGGGGCGGCCCAGGCCAGCTGCACATGCTTTCCACATCAGACCCGACCGGTGGCCTCCCTGCACTCAGCTGCTCTTCCTTGACCACTCACGCCTCACTTGCAGGCCTGATGAAGCTCTCAGCCCTTCCAGCCCTGCCACTCTCCTTGCTCTGACCGCCTTCTTTGACACACTACAGCCAGCAGTCTGCTTCCTGTTGTCAATCAGGCAGCTCGCCTCCTGCACATGAACAGGCGTGTGTGCCTGCATGGAGTCAGAACTCTGACTCCCGGGCACGCAGAGGATGGGGATGAGGCACCCACTCACAAATGCAACACGAGGAACACAGCCCAGCTGCAACACTGCCTTCTGCATCAGTGCACGCACCTTCCGTGCCACCAGGATATTCTCCACACCTGACCTGCTCACCCCTCCTTACTTTCAGACTCTCAAGCAGTTCCTGAGAAGTTCCACCAAGATCCTCGGAGAGCCCCAACTGTTTCGAATCGACCCCTACTCAGCCGACTCACAGCCAAAAAGCACAGGCTGCAGGGGCATGAGCCAGGTCCAGGAGTGGACTCTGCTAGGGTGAACAGACCTGGGCAAAGGATAGGGGCACGAGCCGGGTCCAGGAGTGGACTCTGCTAGGGTGAACAGACCTGGGCAAAGGACAGGGGCACGAGCCGGGTCCAGGAGTGGACACTGCTAGGGTGAACAGACCTTGGCAAAGGACAGAATGCGACTCACAGTGAGCAACACTCCAGCAGGCTCCACCCGCCAGGCTGTGCCTATGCTCCTGCACAAGCAGCTGCCTTGAGTCCACAGCTCACAACTCCTGGAGTACAGAGCCTTTTCCTCCTCCCAGGAAGCCAGGCTCCAACGAGAAGGGCTCACAAAGCACTGACCTTCGGCTCAAGGTCTGAATTCTGGCTTGACGCAAACACCCACTGGCAGTCAGGAGAAGACAGGAGCTGCACGGGAACATTGGGAAATGCAGTCACTCTGGAGACCAGCTGCAGCTGAGGCAGCATCAGAGCGTAGAGGTTCCCCTCAGCACAGGCTGCCTGCGAAGAGAAACAACCCAACTGTTGATGATCAGGTTCCATGGAACAGGGGGAAGAAGGGATGCTTAGAAATACTAAGAATGTACTGTGTGTATGAGGAGATGCAAAACGTTCATGGAAAATGTAATTGAAAGATCATTCTGGCAAGCAAACATCTGAAACTCAGGCATACAAGGGGTCTTAGGAAAGTTCACAGAATGCATGCTCTAAATACACTATTCATGGGGGCCCGGTGTGGTAGCCTAGCAGCTAGAGTCCTCACCTTGCACGTGCCAGAATCCCATATGGGTGTCAGTTCATATCCCAGTAGCCCTGCTTCCCATCCAGCTCCCTGCTTATGGCCTGGGAAAGCAGTCAAGGACTGCCCAAAGCCCTTGCCTATCACTGGATCAGCCACCTCCAAGCCCCGGCCCAGCCCTGGCCCAGCCCCGGATAGCCCCTGTCCAGCCCCAGCCTAGCCCCAGCTCCACCCCTGCGCATGCCCGGCCCAGCCCCAGCTCTGCCCCAGCCCAGCCCCGACCCAGCTCCAGCTCATCTCCTGCACAGTCCCGGCCCAGCCAGTGCCCAGCCTCGGCACAACCCCGGATCCGCCCTGGTTTATCCCCTGCCAGCTCTGAATCAGCCCCTGCCCAACCCCTGCGCAGCCTTGGCATAGCCCCTGCCCATCCCTGGCCCATCCCTGGATCAGCCTTATCCCAGCCCCGACCCAGCCCTGGATCAGCCCTAGATCAGCCCTGGCCCTGTAGTCATTTAGACAGGGAATCAATGTTGATTGAGGATCTCTCCCTCTCCCTCTCTGTGTGACTTTGTGTTTCAAATAAATAATATCTTTAAAAAAATCTTTACAGTGTTCGGTTTTTTTTTTTTTTCAGCAAATTCCAGAAATTCAATTTCATTCTCGATGAACTCTTTGGAACATCTTTGCGTACAGACAGGGGGAGACAGAGAGGCTAGACTGGAGAATCTTGATGTCTTTATTATTAAGAGATCACAAATGTTTGGGAAAATACTATGTTCGCCTTTATTTGAGCATTAAACAATGCATTTACACATGGTATCCCATAAAAATACAGTCTTTATGTATCAATTAAAAATTGACAGACAAAAGGAATGAACCAAAACAGCACCCTAGCATGAGAAGAGAAAGCCTGATGGACTCCTCATGGTCTTGAAATGCCTGTAAAGAGAGCTCACTGCCCGCTCACAGGGGGCACCTGTTAGCAATTTTTAGATAATGTCTTAGAGTATTTCTTCATATACAAGGGCAGAAAATGAGCATGTTCCAGCAGCATGCACGTCTTCAGCCCTGAGCCCTGTCCCCACAGCAGTCAGCACGCTCTTCCTGCACCCTTGCTGTCCAAATAAAGAACCGTTGCACCACAGGCTGTTCTGTGTCCTGTATGTCATATTATGGATTTAACATACTCCTTAGGAAATGTTCTGCATCAGGAAACGCCTTCTTTTGACTTTTTACATCCACCACGCTGATGGAAATTAATTTATAAATTTTGTCACAAACACTCATTGCACCAGGAAGCTCCTGTGCATGCTGCTCTGCGCAAATGTCAATGTTTCTTCATGGGAAGATCCAAAAACTGACAGGCCAAACAGCGTCAAAACTCTTAACAACAAAAAAGCAATAGCAGGTTTTGTAAAACTTTCAAAGACATTCCCATTCCACTATGTATAAAATAATTTACTTCTTTTCATCTAACTTACATTGATTGTTTACACATGTGCTCTCAGAACAGGTGTGGAGTGTGACAAAGCAGGTCAAATCCTCAGCTGGGACACCCACCTAGCACTGGGAGTACAGCCTCAGGTCTTGCTGCTCTGTTTCTCATCTGGTTTCCTCTTGGGCTGCTGGCTTCAATGTGGCCCAGCCCTGGCTGCTGGGGCCATTTGGGAAGTGAAACAGCAGAAGGAAAATAGTCTCTTTGTCTCTCTTTTTCTCCAACTGCCTTTCAAGTACCTTTTATTTTCCTTAAAGAAGGAACTTCTATTTTCAGCTGCAGTTCTCAAGTGGATGCTTCTGTTTCCAGTTTATACCTGTCGGCTCTTTCTGTGTTCCACTGTGTGTGTAAAGCATGGGCTTTCTGCATTCAGCTTTCCCATTTTCTGGCTTTGAGCTGAGCAAAGGTGAGCTTCAGGGTAGTGAAGCTAAAGTGGAAGACCTCTACCATCTCCCACCCCTCTCCCTCTGTTCTTAGTTACTAGCTTTCAAGTAGATAGGAAGTAAGAGATCTTTTAAAATGTGTGCTCTCTTTAATATCTATATAAAATATATATTTATAAATATATGTAATTTTTTTCTTTTCTCTTTTCTTCCTTCTTTCTTCCCTCCCTCCTTTCATTCTTTCTCTCTCGCTCCTGCTCTCCTTCTCTTTTTTTTTTTAAAGATTTATTTTTATTATTTTTTTATTGGAAAGGCGGATATACAGAGAGGAGAGACAGAGAGGAAGATCTTCCATTCAATGATTCACTCCCCAAGTGAGCACAATGGCCGATGCTATGCCGATCCGAAGCCAGGAGCCTCTTCCGGGTCTCCCACGCAGGTGCAGGTTCCCAAAGCTTTGGGCCGTCCTCGACTGCTTTCCCAGGCCACAAGCAGGGAGCTGGATGGGAAGCGGGGCCGCCGGGATTAGAACCGGCGCCTATATGGGATCCCAGGCGTTCAAGGCGAGGACCTTTAACCACTTGCGCCACCGCGCCAGGCCCTCTCCTCTTTTGAAATACAAAGCTCTTCTGACCTCTAGCTGGCTTCTCCAATGGCTTCAACAGCTGGGGCTAGGCCAGGATACAGTGAGGAGCCCAAAACTCTCCCCACATCTCCCACAGGGGCGGCGAAGACCCCAGAACGTGGGCCAGGACTCACTGCCTTCCCAGGCAGGTTAGCACAGAGCTGGATAGTAAGCACGAAGCAGCCAGGACTTCCACTGGCACTCAAATGGTGGTTTAGCCTGCGGAGCCACAATGCCAGCCTCACAAAGTCTGCTTTTAATGTCTCTTTCTTGATGGCCAGTTAGGTTTCACACTTTCATGTAGTATTGGACATCTGTGCTTTTTCGAGGAATTGACTACTCATACCTTGAACAGATTTTCTAGTAGTTTCCTGCTTTCTACGCTGATAGAAATCCTTTGCTAAATAAGATAGTTTTTCTCATAAAGTTTCGTATATCTTAGCTTTGTAATTTTATGGTCCAGATGCATACAACTGTTCAAATAAATCAAATCAGTGTCATTTGAAAAAAGAGAATCATTTACTTATTTGAAAGGTAAAGTAATAAAGAAAGAGAGAGGGAGACACACAGATTTTCCACCTGCTGATTCACTCCTAAAATGCCCACAAGATCTTAGTACCCTACATGGGTGGTACAAACCCAAGTACTTGGGTCATTTTCTACTGTCTTTTCTGACTCATTAGCAGGAAGCTGGACTGGAGGCAGAGCAGCTGGGACTTGAACCAGCTCACTGATGTGGAAGGCTGATATCACAACTGGCAGCTTATCTGCCACAATTCTGACCCTGGGTGTCTTTTCTTGACTCTGGATTTTCCCCTACCTTGGCATCTCTGATTTATGAAACCACTTTTATTTTACATTTGTTTTCTTAACTGTAGAGTAGTTTAGAGGGGGAAATCTGAAGGCATGTCTGGGTCAGGCCAGACACCCACCTATGTGAGAGACCCAGGCTGAGCTAAATCACATCACCCACTGACCACTCATGCATGTAAAAGCTGGAACTGGGAGATATGCCTGCGTAGGTAATACCACAGAACCCATCTACAACTGTCAGAACAAGCGGTAGGCCATATCAGGCTGGGCTGTAGTACCCACTAGAATGTGAGAAAAGCAGACCATGTAGGGGACCAGTAGGCTCATCTCTGTGGGACTGTAGTACCTGCTGATTTGTGCAGAGAGCTGGGGGAGGAGATGGATCACACCAGACTGGACAACTCAACACAGAGGCATAGTCTGCCTGGGAGGGGGCTTAGCTCACGCTGGTCATGGCCACAGTGTCCAGATCCTGGAAGGTGGCCAAGCCCAGCCAGGGCTCCTGAGAGCCACTCACTCACCAGCAGGAAGGGGCCTTTTGGATGGTTGCAGGCCTCCAGCGCAGAAGAATAGGTGGGCAGACGGAAGGAGGCCCGCTCCCGCCCTGTCTCTGCTTCCCAGGCTTTAATCAATCCCTGCTCGTCCACGGTGACAACCAGCTGCAGCTGAGGGTAAGTTACCAAATTCACCAGAGCAGTAGGCTGACAAGGGCTGCACCAGATCTCCTTGCCCTGAAGATGACAAAATATATGTAAGGTACTGAAAGGGAGATCCATTTATTCTGTGAACACACATTAGTTTTGTGTATTCTACCAACACACATCTACCTATGCCCACTCTGTGCCAGGTCCCACAGTATATATCAAGGATGTGACCCCACCCAGCAGCCACAGTAAGGACAACAACAGAGGGACAAAGAGTGTCCTAGTCACATCAAAGACAGTGACAAGGCAGGAACTACCCTGTGAGAGCTGGACAGCTAGACCCGCTGCTGGTGTGAGCACAGCATTCCTGTCACGCTGTGCCTGAAGCACCTCTAGTAGTTACTTGGGTTCAACTGGAGGGGGAGTGGCAGCTGCAAGCCACACAGGGAGGGCAGAAGCAACACTGGCATGTCATGTGCATGCGACTGGTTATAAATCAAAAGTCCTGTCAAGTAAGCCAAAGAACGAACCATGTTTAGGAGTCTGCCACTTGAGCAACAAATCCCAAGTCATCCTGGTGCCTGTCAGGTGCAGAATCTGGAGCAGATGGACATGGTGACTACAAGGTCTAATCCTCTGAGCTAAACCACCCCACACACCAGCACCAGTGGAGAGGATCACACAATGGAGAGGCTTCAGTCAAAAGCCCAACCAGGCTCACAGCAGAGGTGCAAGGAACAGCACAACTGCTCTCCCTGAAACACAGCAACACAGCCCCCACGAGACACAGTGGACAAAGTCTGCCCACCTAAGGCAGTACAGCGGGAAGCCAAGAGTGCGTCTCGGAGGAATGTCATATGCTTCAAATGTGGGTCTGTCCCTCACTTGATTCCAGCGTGACCTGGCATGGTGGCCTCTTAAAACTGGATTTCTCATCCTTGCACTCACTTCAGCAGCTCTCCACGATTGTTGAAGGAATCATAAAGACAAAGGGCCTGAGATGAAGAACCGAAACAGTCTCACCTTCTCCTTCCTATTTTGGGGACAGCTCACCTCACGTAAATCCCAGGCACGAACAGTTGAGTCTGAGGACACAGAGCAAACCACAGACTTCTCCTTCCCATCAAATCGGCACTCGTTGGTTGAGATGTAGGCCAGGCCATCTATAGATCCTGAAATACAAAGCACATACACAGAAGGATTGGAATTTGAACACTCAGCATGGCACAGTGGAGGCAGGAAAACCACTCCTCTCTTCCTGACTCAGGAGCACAATGGGCGTTCATGCATGTGGACAATGTGGACAGCAAATATGTACCCATTGCCCAGCACGTGTCCAGTGACTGGCTGACATGCCAAATCCACGGGACTCAGCCAGTGGGACTGGATGTGGCCATTATATCATCCTGCTCGTACCTATATGGCCAGCAAGTGCTGTGCAGACGAAGTCCTTCCCTGGCCGCCCAGACTCCATTCGGAACTCCAGCTCGGATCGGCAGAGATAATACTCTCTCCATGTTTGTGCGCCTGGAACTGTCCCAGAGGCCTTGAAGGATGACCAGCGTCTGCAACACAGCTGCCTGAAAACACACCCGCAGCTTAGGCTGAATAATAGCAATCGTGGATTTTGGAGCCAACAGGCCTCACTTTGACTCCTAACCTTATAAATTATTGGCTGTGAAACCTACCACAGCTCGGTTTGCCAACGAAGGTCTCAATTTCCTCTCCTGTAAAATGGAAGAAGTGAGAAGCTGATCCTGAAGGAGCGCTCACTCCATGCCAGTGAAATGCTCTTTGGATACAATCAACCCTGTGAAGTAGACCTCACCTCCATTCTTCACAAGGACACAAAAGCAGAGAGAAGTTACACAGCTTAGACAAAGTCACACAACCTGTACAGTGGGGTAACTGCAGTCCAATTCTGTATTATCCACTGTATGAAGCAGTGAAAGAGAGGAGCTTGGAGGCTCCAAATCCCTAGACAAGGAAACTGAAATGTTAATCCATGGATTCAATCGGTGTGTACCTGTGCTGAACTATCTTACTCTTTCCTGAGAAATGTGTGCTACATGTTGACCTGAAAATTCAAAAAAAAAAAAAAAAAAGAACTTAAAACAAAGTATGCAACTGAGATGTAAGAACACACTTTTAAGTCCCTGAATCTAGCTATTTAGTTGCCTATTTCTCCATTGCTGTCAGCCCTTCATGTATTCTGCTGCCTTGTTACTCAAGACACATATGCCTATATTCCAATGTACCATCTTGAGAGACTGACTCAGATAAGCAGTCCTTTTTTTTAACAACACTTTTGTTCAGATTTTCTTTTCTTTAAGACTTATTTATTTTCAGTCCTGGCTTGATGGCTCGATGGCTAAAATCTTTCTCTTACAAGTGCCGGGATCCCATCTGGGTGCCAGTTCATGCCCCAGCTGTTCCACTTCCCTTCCAGGCTTGTGACCTGGAGAAGCAGTAGAAGATGGCCCAAAGCCTTGGGACCTTGCTCCTGCACAGGAGATGGCTCTGCTCCAGCCACTGCAGCCACTTGGGGAATAAACCAGCAGATGGAAGATCTTTCTCTATCCTCCCTCTGTAAATCTGCTCATCCAATAAAAATAAATAAATCTTTAAAGTAAAAATAAATAAATCTTTAGGAGAAGAAAAAAACATTTTTCATTGGAAAGATCAAATTGAGAGATCAGCGAATGGGTTGGGCCAGGCAGAGGCAAAGACCCTGTAACCCCACCCAGATCTCCCACTTGGATGGTAAAGACCATCCTTGGCCATTTTATGTTGTCTTCCCAGACACATTAGCAGGAAGCTGGATCAGAAGTGGAATAGTCAGGGCTTGAATGTGCACTCCAATACGAGATCCTGGTATGACGAATATCTGTTTACCCTGCTGGGCCACAGCACTGGCCCCTGACTGCCTTCCTTTGAGTTAAACATGCTCTAGTATACTATCTTAATTCTTTTGTAATTTTTTCTAAAAATATTTTTTTCAGCTACATTTTTTTTAAATACTGACTTTTTTTTTTTTTAATGTGGAAGACAGATTTTTACAAAGAAGAGACAGCCAGAGCAAAGCCAGACTCAAGCAAGCAGCTAAGATTTCAATCCTGGTGTCCCACACAGGGGCAGGAACTCGCCCGACTTGAACCATCATCTTTTGCCTCCCAGGTGCATTCCTGTGGGAACCTGGGTCAGAAGCAGAGCCAGGACCTGGACATTGGTATTCTAACATGGGTTGATCCAAGCAGCATCTTAACTGCTGTGTCAAATACCCATCTCTATTGGTGCTCTTTAGTTATTCACTTGGGTTAGATTATTGGTTAACTGAAAGATTGATTGATTTGAAAGGCAGACTGACAAAGACAGAGAAAATGTTCATCTTCTCCCTCATTCTCCAAATGTCCCCAACAGCCGGCCCAAAGCCAAGAGCCAGGAACTCCGGCACTCTCATGAGTGGCACAGACCCAATCTGCTGCCTCCCCAGGCACATTCACAGGAAGCTAGATTGGAAGTACAGTAGCCAGCACTTGAACTGATACACCAAGTTCAGTGTATGGGATAATGTGCCCCAGGCTGAAGCTTAGCCTGCATCACAACGCCTTCCAACCTGGTGCTCTTTCTTGTAACTACTTTTAGCACTTCTACGGAGCAAGTCCTCCAGCAGCAAAAGCTAGAGAATAGTTTTTGCTGAATACAGAATTCTTGGTGATAGTCTTTTACTTTCAGCAACATAAAAAGGTCATCTCGTCATCCTCTAGGCTCCATGGTTTTTGATAAGAAATGACGCCCTCATTTGGAGTTCCCCTGGTTTGTGAGTTTCTGCTTTCAGTATACTTTGTCACGTAAAATACTGTATACATTAGAGTATTGATCTCTTGAGTTTTACTTCAGTTTGCAGTCCAGTGAACTTTAGAATGTATAAATTAACAAAACTGGGAAGTTTTAACAAAACTGTTTTATCCAAACTGGGAAGTTTTCAGTCATTACTCATTCAAATATTTTTCTTCCTTCTCCCCTTCACCTCTAATCCTGGGACTCCTATTATGCAATAATGGCATGTCTATGGTCCCACATGTTCCTAGGCATTATTCACATTTTTTTAATTCATTTTACTCATTTATTGCCCTTTCTGGATAATCTTAACTATTTTCAAATTGACAGATTCTTTCTTCTCCCTGCTATTAAGCCTTCTACAGAATTCTTTATTGCTGTACACCCTTCACTCAAGCTTCTACACATTTGTAATTATTTCTATTTCTTTGACATTCTCTTGGTTAAGACATTGTTCCATTTCCCTATTGTACTTTACACTGGTTTCAGTTAGTTCTTTCAACATGTTTGAAGCAGCTAACTTACAAGCCTCTGTCCACTGTGCCCAAAGCCTGAGTTTCCTCAGAGCAGTTTCTATTGGTTTCTGTTTCTTTTGTGCTCTTTATTCTAAAATAATTTTTTGCATGTCTCATAATTTTTATTGAAAACAGAACATTTTAAACAATGAAATGTGACAACTCTAGAAATCAGGTCCCCCTGGCTAACTTTTGGTGTTTGCTGCTTTGTTTCTGAACCAGGTCTGAAAAGTCTGAATTCTGTGTAATGAGTAGCCATTGAGATTTCTATTCAATCTGATTAGTGCTAACAACTGACAGAGATTTCCTCAAGTACATGTCGCGGTCTTTCAGGAAGCGCTGTGCAGGCTGGTCAATGACTGCACTGATCCTTCACCGTCTGCTTGTATGGAGCTTAAAGGTCAGCAGGATATAATAATCCGGGACGTTCTAGGATCTTTCCTGAACCTACACACTCTTGCTGGGCATGCACTCAACCCTCGAGACTTACAGATATGACAGAGTATACTCGTTTAATGCCCTGAAAGACATCTCCTTCCCCAGTCTCTCTGTTCAATATTTTTAGTTGTTGGGAGGGGAGGGATCTTGGGGAAGGGCACAGGCAACCTCAGAGTCTATAGAATTACATCATAAAACAAAATTAAATATTTTAAATGTAAAAAATATACTTTTGGTTGTCCTGTTTAGCTGTTATCTATCAGACTAGAAAGTCACAAACTTAGATAGTTGTAAATGCCCAAATCTCTGGGAGTTTTTGTTGTTGGGGAGGGGGGGCTGGGTTTTTTTGTTTTTTTGCTTTTTTCTTCCTATTTTACACTGGGTAAACTCCTACGTCTATTCAATTAAAGATAATCTTGCAAATGGGGTCTTAAAGGATACACCAAACAGGTCAAATAATGACAGTTCCAGGAGCCGGAGTGATAGCTCAGTGGCTAAATCCTTGCCTTGCATGTGCCAAGATCCCTTATGGGTGCCTGTTCTTGTCCCAGATGCTCCACTTCCCATCCCGCTTCCTGCTTATGGCCTGGGAAAGCAGTCGAGGATGGCCCAAAGCCTTGGGACCCTGTACCCACGTGGGAGACCAAGAAGAGGCTCTTGGCTTCTAGGTTTGGATCAGCTCAGCTCCAGCCATTGCAGCCACTTGGGGAGTGAGCCAGTGGATAGATCTTTACACCTCCTTCTCTCTGTAAATCTGCCCTTCCAATAAAAACAAATAAATTTTAGACAAAGAAGAAAAAAAAATTTAACAAAAATGACAGTTCTGGGAGTGAGGCTTGCAAGGATCTCTAAGCCCATTTATTCACCCTCCAGTGACACCAGGTTCCAGTTTTCACTGTGATAGCAAAGGCTAACAGAGCTGTATGGGGATTATGGGAACAGGGCCATCCTAAGACTCCATTCTTTTTCATGAATAAACACTTCCCAAAACACTGTAAGACTTCAGTTATTTCTAAAGTTCAAAAACAGCTGAGAGCAGTATTGTGACACAAGCTAAGCCACAACTCGGCAACACACATCCCACATGATTCCACTTCTGATCCAGCTCCCTGCTGATGGTTCAGGAAGGCAGCAGCAGATGGCCACGTGTTTGTTTGGGCCCCTGCCATCCATGTGAGAAACATGGATGGAGCTGCACACTCCCGGCTCACCTGGCATAAGAGCTGGCTGTGGCAACTAAGTGGGGAGGAAACCAGTAGATGGATAACATCTCTGTAACTCTGCCTTTCAAATAAACGCATATACAAACAAAAACAGAAAAAGCTGATTTTGTACCAGTTATTAAGGAGAACAGTTTCAGAGGCTATTATTCCATTTTTTTCCCCTGAGATTTTGCATTGTTTCAAAAAAAATTTTTTTTAATTTATTGGGACTGCAGAGAGGTACGGAGAATATGCTCGCTCCCTAAAGGTCCTTGTTGGCTGCGGCTGATACCAGGGGACATGCCTGCAGTGCAGATCTCCCACGTGCGGAGCAGGGATCTAATTCTTTCAGGCTTCTCAGGATCTGCATTAGTAGGAAGCTGGAGTTGGGCACCATCTCTGGGAACCCAACCCAGTCATTCCAATATGGAAGCGAGGCCTGTTAACTGTTAACCATGGGGCCGCATACCCATTTCCAAGACCCTGTAGTCTTAAATTCCGGTGACTGCTGTCAATTCTTAGATAGCACCTTTCCAGTGAGGTTGTTGAGAATAAAACAGTAGTTCATGAATCCTATAAACAATTTACCAAATGCCAACCTAATCCGTAGGCCCTAAGGTGAACTAGATACAGCTGTTCTCTCAAGGAACTCTGAGCTGCTGGCTAAGACAAAAATCAAGGTGGCATAGCAGGCAGTGTCGGGATTTCAACTGGTATCCAAATGGGATGGAAACATTGCAGGCAGTCGCTCAACATGCTAAGCCACAATGCCAGCCCTTTGAACTATTCCTAATAACTATGTATCAATCTAAACCATGTGACAATAAATAATAAAAGAAATCAGAGAGGAGATGGAGCATTTTTATATGTATGGGAATGAAATGTATTTCTATGTTTAAAGCCTTTATACATTTACCCACTAGGAGAACTATGACCAATACACCAAAGAGATGAGAAAACCAAATGATTTGACAAAAAAAAATGAATGTCATACTAATCAGAGTATGCATATGAATAAAGTAAATGTGTGTAATGCCTCTGAAACAAAATAATGAAATGAAGTAAAAAAAAAAAAGTACTTTAGCACCAAAACTTTTCACAGATAGTAATTTTAAAAAATATACTTAGATGCAACAGAAATTATGTACCTTAAAAAAGAGCAACCAGGTACAATTTTACTTCAAACCAAAAAGCTGATGCTTAGTACGCTGAAGAAACAACAGAATCTAAAAGGTCGTTAAGCCTTTAAAATAGTAACTTGGGCCTGGCACGGTAGCCTAGTGGCTTAAGTCCTCTTCTTGCATGCACCAGAATCCCATATGGGCACCAGTTCACGTCCTGGCTGCCCCACTTTCCATCCAGCTCCCTGCCTGTGGCCTGGGAGAGCAATCAAGGACAGGCCAAATCCTAGGGATCCTGTACCTGTATGGAAGACCTGGAAGAGGCTCCTGGCTAAGCACTGGCCCAGCTCCGGCCATTGTGCCACTTGGGTAGGGAATCAACAGACAGATCTTTCTCTGTCTCTCCTTCTCTCGTAAATCTGACTTTTGAGTTAAAAAAAAAAAACTAAATAGTAACTTGCTGCATTTTCAACTGAAATTATTTTGTAAAGGCACATGACACAATTGGCCAAGTTTATTTGCTGTGTCCATAAAATCTGCACAGGTCTGGGGAGTTTCTGTACAAGGCAGGCACCTGCAACAGGCCTGCCATCAGAAAACTGTTGAGTTGAAAACAAAATGAAATAAACATGGCTTGCTGCTACCTGCAATAATTTTCGCTTTTGCAACTTCTGCTTTACTTGCTTGGCTAAGAAATTGTGTGAGCTTGCAGGCCTAATGACCAACATGACCTTTAGTGCCAATAGCCCCCAACCCCCATAAATCAAGGCCCCAGACTTATTAACCCGAGATAATTCAAGATCGGGGGGTCTGGTTGTCACAGGTGGCGCCAAGGTTGGAAGCCAGACTTAGGAGAGCAGGCAGGGGCTGGCAAGCTGAGATAAGCAAGGAATGCATGACCCTTTCTCACTCACCTTTCAAGCTGTTATAAACTGTTACCCCCCTTTAAGCTGTGTCAAACTGCCCCTATAAAAACTCTGTAATTGTACTGCTCGGGCTGCACTCTGGTAAGGGGGTTTAGTCCAGCTGGCTGGTTGGGTCAGTCAGCTGCCTTGCCTCTCATTGATAATAAAACTTTGTTGTGACTGTCACTGGTGAATGTAACATTCTGTTTCAGCTGTCCTTGGAGTAGATGTAACAAAATGACCTGTTGATGTGACCAGAAGTGACAATTCCACTGGAATCCAACTGTCATTATTCGGAAACAAAAAACTCAACGTTCTCACCAGGAAACAGGTCAAGGATACAATCATAAGAGATGACTTCATGCTACAAAGATCATTAAACACTATAGGCATAGCAAAATGACTGAAAGCCCATGTGTGACGTGGCCTGCAGAGAGCAGAACCATTTGCACAAGAAACACAATATGTTATGTGTGACATTACATGGAGGTCAAGCGATGCATTACAGAAATTATTTCTGAGCCATTCACAGAAACACACAATTCACTGAAACAGAAAGCTCCTTCCCTTGCTTGTCTGCAAAAATAAGAGAAAGACCAGGGTTGAGATCCTATTCATTTAATTGTAAATGTTCCTCTGCCAGGCTTCTCCAAATATTCAGATCAATTCATGACTTCATTCAGTTATTCTTAATGAAAAAAGATTCTTTAAGCATGTGTCAAGACAAATGCTTATTCACTTCTCTACTAAAAAATCAATTTCCTTAATTAAATATTAGGTTTAGAATACCTTCCCCAAATTATGGAAAGACTGAGTTTAATAAAAGTTTTTTTACTTCAAAACTAAACAGATTAAGATTGTCTTTCTAATTAATACTATTATTGGTCATAAAAACTGAATAAAAAGCAACAGTGCTATATCATCCTGTAAAACAAAGATGGCAAGGTTAGTGCCTGAGAATTCTCAAGTGTCTCAAGGTGTACACGTTCTGAAAATAAAAATGGGGATTCTCTAAATATGCACTGGACAGGTGTTTTCCACTAGGAGTGACTGCCATTACACAGAGCTCCTAGCCGGCAGGCAAGACTACCAGATTCAGAAACAGACAGGGGAGCCAACAGTTCTCTGTTCCAGTTTCAGATGGTTGGATTTTGGTACAAAAAAAGGCAGGCTCCAGGCCTGGCACTGTAACACAGTGACACCGGTATGCCATATAGGAACCATTTCAGGTCCCAGCTGCTCCACTTCCCATCCAGCTCCCTGCTAGTGGCCTGGGAAAGCAGTAGAAAACAGCACCCACAGAGAAGACTCAGATGAAGCTTCCGGCTCCCGGCCTAGGCCTAACTCATCCTATCACAGCCAACTGAAGGGTAAATCAGCAGATGGAAGATCTCTCTCTCTGTAACTCTGACTTTCAAATAAACACATGAATCATTTTTTTTTAAAGTTCCCAAGTGGAGAAGTTAGAAACTTTAATAACCTAATGATTAAAATATTTGTATTTTCAACTTTGATTTTTCCCATTTTATAAGTTCTAATATACATGCTTATAATGCTAAAATGTTACGCCAAGGCTGAATTAAAACAAAAGCAGTTTGATCATATTTCTATTGCTTATCATCTGTCAGCCTTCTGCATTCACTTATTGCACCCTTCTCACAGCCTGGAAACACTATTCTATATAAAACTCCTAAATGATGGACAAAATCTCTCATACTTTAACATTACAAACATCTTATGTCTCTAACCAGGGAGGAGGTTTCTGTTGGTAGGCAAGCAATAATTCTCCATTTTACACTCAAGAGAGTCCAAAATGCAGTGTTCAAGATACTTATCCAGTTAGGCAGTACCCCGACCCTCCTTTCTGAAACTATCTCAGGCTTTGCCTTTACTCACCTCCACAGTTCCTCCGTCCTTGCAACTTCATTCCACATCTAGAACAAGGAAGGAAGAAGAAAGTACATGATGAATCCACAGGCCATTAGCAACCAGTCAGGTTCTGGGAAGGGAATGAAGAATTAAACCAAACCCGACCACTGACCTCAAGAAAGCTCACCCTGGGAAACTAGGAAACACCGGACAACCAAAAATGAGTAAATCTGAGAATGATCTATTCCATGGGGATGAAGAGCTGTACCTCAGAGAAAAGGTTACTGTGTCAAAGCCACAAAGGGTGGTACGTTGTGTCTAAGAGAACAGTTAGAGTGTTGCAGAGAACACTGGGGCAAAGAATCCGGGGTAAACTATGTGGGTGAGCAATCTGCCTTAATTACAAGAAGTTCTAGTTGGAGAGGAATGAAGAGCACTGGCGCTGGGTTTAGACTAACTCCCAAAGCCAACGGTAAAAGTACTGAGAGGCTGCTGGAGGACTCCGAACAGAGGAGGACTAACGGTTCAGTTATTACTCGGCCTGCAGCGAAGCAGGCCTTGTACGAAAGTTGATGCAGTAGAGCAAATTCAGGCAACAACTGAGGGGTGTCCCAAAGATGCTCAGAGGGTGGAATGAGAACAGCCTTCCCCACCCCTCACCCCCAGGGGTCAGGGGAGAGGACAGAACTATTCTAGCCCTGCTCCAGGAACTACCCTGCAAAACTACGTGCGTAAGTCACTAGGTTTCCTGGGGCACAGGGCTCTGGGTACCACACTTCCTGCCAGCTAAGTCACCCCGGATGCTGTAGCCCAGTGACCGAGGGCAGCTCTCTAGAGCCTTACAATGAGGCTGTCCAGGTCCTGGCAGAGACTGCAGGCATCTCGGAGCCCACGCTCTCATGTCAGCAGCCCTGGCTCGGGGCTCCAAGTTTCTCGGCCTTTAAGTAAGAAGTTTTTGGACAACCTGGGATGAAAACTTGGTGTTTATAAAATCAAACCAAGTAAAAAGATCTGTTCATTTCCCTTTTCTACAGTTTCTAGTTCAAAACCCCAGCAAAGAAATGGGTATATGGCCTGGGGGGTTAAGACACCATTTGGGACACCCACAGCCCAAATTTGAGTACCTAGCTCTACTTCCGATCCTAGTTTCCCACTAATGCATGTACACACTGAGAAACAGCAGAAGATGGTTCCAATGGGTTCCTGCCACCCACACAGACTGAGTTCCTAATGTCCTGGCTCAGGCCTGGCCCAGGCCTGGGGTGTGGGAAGATGGACGATTTCTGTCTGACATTTCAACTTTCAAATACACATTATGTATATAATACATATATTTAAAGATTTATTTAAAACACAAAGAGAGACAGAGATTTCCTATCTGCTGGTTCACTCCCCAAATAGCCACAACAGGCCAGGAACCAGGACATCCATCTGGGTTTCCCATGTTGGTGGCAATGAGTACAAGCACTAGACACCTGCTGCTGCTTTGTCAGGGAGCTCCACTGGAAATGGAGCATCCATGTCTCAAACCCATGCTCCTGTGGGATGCCAACACTGCCAGCAGCTGCTTTACTTACTGCACCACAACACTGCCTCCTGGGTTTTGCTTTTTTTTTTTTTTAACTTAACTTTACCAAAGCATGAACATGAGTGCTATAACCATAGCCTAGGTACCTATGAACTGTTCAGACACCATCTTGTGTATCAATTATGAAACTTTAAGATTTTGCTCTTTCAGTGAGAGACAAGAGCTACCATTCCCCTCTCTAAATGCAGGCATCTCTACTCGAATAGATGTTTGTGAAGGAAAAAAATCATATGCTACTTTTCTGTATCCAAAATCTAAACAAGAGTTTTTTCTAGTTCTTATATAGTAAACAGAAGTTTCAAAGTTTGAATATTCCAATTAGCATGAATTAGGGTCAGTGCTGTGCGACAGTAGTTTAAGTCATACTTCTGATGCCATATCTCAGTCTGTGCTTCCACGTCAGTCCCCTGCTGGTGTTACCATGAAGCGATGGTGCCGGCCAAGCACTTGCACTCCTGTCACGGACATGGGAGACAGAGATGGAGATCACCGCTAGGTGAAGATCCCACTCCCTGTCTCACCCTTTTCTCCTTCTCCCCCTCTCTCATTCCAGATATATTTTTTGTAGTAATTTTTAAAATATTTTAAATAAAACCAACTGAGATCTTATGGAGGTACTTTAAAAAGTCAATGGGGGGAAAAAAAAGAATTAAAAGAAGTTTATTTTGGTACAAAACAAGTTTGAAATTCAGGGCATGGCGAGGTGGACTAGTGGCTGAAGTCCTCGCCTTGAACACACTGGGATCCCATATGAGTGCCGCAGGTTCTAATCCCGGCAACCCCACCTCCCATCCAGCTCCCTGCCTGTGGCCTGGGAAAGCAGTCAAGGACAGTCCAAAGCCTTGGGACCCTGAACCCGTGTGGGAGACCCAGAAGAGACTCTGGGCTCCTAGCTTTGGATTGACGCAGCTCTGGCCATTGCGGTCACTTGGGGAGCGAATCATTGGACGGAGGATCTTCCTCTCTGCCTCTCCTCCTCTCTGTATTTCTGGCTTTGCAATAAAAATAAAATAAATTTTTTTATTTTTTAATTTTTTATTTATTGTTTGTATTGCAAAGTCAGACATATGTATATATAGAGAAGGAGAGACAGAGAGAAATATCTTCCGTCCGATGATTCACTCTCCAAGTGACTGCAATGGCCAGTGTTGCATCGATCCAAAGCCAGGAGCACAGAACTTCCTCCAGGTCTCCCATGCAGGTGCAGGGTCCCAAGGCTTTGGATCATCCTCGACTGCTTTCCCAGGCCACAGCAGGGAGCTGGATGGCAAGCAGACTGCTGGGATTATAACTGGGAGCCTATAAGTTATCCTGGTGCATTCAAGGCAAACACTTTAGCCACTAGGCCTCAGCACCGGGCCCCAAAGTAAATTTTCTTTTTTTTTTAAAATTTACTTTTATTATGTTTTTATTGGAAAGGCGGATATACAGAGAGGAGAGACAGAGAGGAAGATCTTTCGTCCGATGATTCACTCCCCAAGTGAGTGCAACAGCCAATGCTATGCCGATCCGAAGCCAGGATCCAGGAACTTCTTCCGGGTATCCCACACAGGTAGGTGCAGGGTCCCAAGGCTTTGGGCCGTCCTCCACTGCTTTCCCGGGCCACAGGCAGGGAGCTGGAAGGGAAGCGGGGCCGCCGGGATAGAACTGGTGACCATATGGGATCCCGGGCGTGCAAGGTGAGGACCTTAACCACTTGCGCCACCGCGCCCAGCCCCAAAATAAATTTTCTTTTAAAAGTTTGAAATTCATGTATAATACTTTTTTATTTATTTTTATTGGAAAGTCAGATATACAGAGAGGAGGAGAGACAGAAAGGAAGATATTCCATCCAATGATCCACTCCCCAAGTGCCCGCAATGACCAGAGCTGAGCCAATCTGAAACCAGGAGCCAGGAGCTCCTCTGGGTCTCCCAAGTGGACACAGGGTTCTAAGGCCTTGGGTCATCTTCGACTACCTTCCCAAGCCACAAGTATGGAGCTGGATGGGAAGCAGGGCCTCTGGGATTAGAACTGGCAACCATATGTGTTCCTGCCACATACAAGGCGAGGACTTCAACCACTACTCTATCATGCCGGGCTTCATGTATAATATTTTTAAAGACTTAATTTTTATTGGATATACAGAGAAACATATATTTATATAAGTAAATATAAATAAATAAATATATATAATAATAGCTTTATATAAATATACAATATAAACATCAAGGGAAACCTCATCCAGGTCACACATACATACAGGGTTGCATGCACAGCGATTAAAAAAAATACACAAAGCACATTACTCATTCAGTAGCACGTTATTTAACTTCATGTTGTTGTAAGTTTTCTATTTTTCTCTGTTGTTGATTTGGTTTCATGGCTTTGCATTTAAGGGGATGTACAGTTAACTGTGTAATAGAAATCATCACATTTAGATGTGAAGATACAATGCAGTGTGCGTCTCTACTTCCAGATTAAAGATGAACTCCCAAAGAAACTGTTGAATGCATCTTGACAATAGGATGCTCTGCCACTGTCCATGCCCGCAATGTCAGGATACACTTAAACAGCAGATGGACTTAGGACTGAGTGTGAAGGACTATACTATTGTAACAACACGCGGGAAATTGGGAGAGAGGGATAGGGAAAAGTGAAGGGAAATCCCAGAGCCTGTGGAACTGTATCATGGAATAATAAAATAATTAAGGGGGGGAAAAGTTCTAAAGCAATAAGTTCAAGAGGCGAAAACAAATCCGAAAGCCACGTAACACAGCTCTGCTGGGGCCCTCAGTGGGTTGCGGCAGGAGCAGCAGGGCTTAAATGAGTCAGCAGGTGCACCCGGTGCGACGACCCCTACCCTATGGCGAGGATGGGTCATCACCGCCCAACTGGCAAAGCAAAAGTACCAGGAAAGTCGTTTCAGAACAGTCCAAGGAAGGCAACACTGGACAGAGAAACGATTCCTGAGCCCACCCTGGGGGCAGGAAGCGCGTCTCCTTCAAGGCTCGCTCAAGGACTGGACCCTGCCCCGGCAGTCACCCGCCAGACTCTTCCCTAGCGGACAGGAACCCTGGAGCACGCGGAGAAGCGGCCGCCCTGGACCCGCCCTGGACGGAAGGCGTCACCTTGTCCACCTGCGCGGCGCACAGCAGGTCTCGGGCCTCCAGGAAGGAGAAGACGTGCAGCAGCTCGTGGGCTCCGAGCGCCGGCTCCATCCCGCCCCGCAGCCTAGCCTCAGCCGTCAGCGCCAAGGCCCGCGGGCCCAGCTGAGGCACGCCCAGCGAAGGCACGCCCAGCCCGCCGCGCTTCCGCCCCGCAGCGCCCCGCCGGGCACGCCGGCCTCGCCTCCCTCTCAGGCCGGCCTCCTCCTCAGCACGCCCCGCCGGGCACAGCCCCGCACACTGCGCTTCCGCACTTACGCCCCGCCTCTGCCTGCCGGGTTCCGCCCCGCGTTTCCCTCCCGGGTTCCGCCCCGCCTCTGCCTGCCGGGTTCCGCCCCGCCTCTGCCCAGGAGGTCCGCCCCGCCTCTGCCTCCGGGTTCCGCCCCGCCTCTGCTTCCGGGTTCCGCCCCGCCTCTGCCACCCCAGCCTTACTAAGGCCCTTCTCCCGTCGCCTGGCCGCCACCCCTTACACCAGCACTAGCGGACCTTTCCTCGGCTGCTCTCCAACACTGCCTCCTTGAGCTTGTGCTGACCTTGCCGGCACCTACCAATAGTAGCCTGGTTTCTAACCCTGCTTGCATTGCAGCAGCACATGCTAGCCCCGACGTCCAGGACCCTGTTCCCTGGTGCTGACACTCAACGTTCCACAGTACCTTCCCTTGGCCTTCTTCAAGGCTGTGGCTTTGGCTCTGCTCATGGACTAACCATAAACCCGACTTTTTGCCAATACCTATTCCAGGCCTTTTCCCTTGAGCATAAACTGGCCCTCACTACCTTGTTGTCAATGACACCCTGAACTTGATCATGACCCCCGTTCCTCACTTCAGCCCCACATTCCCTGACCTCCACAGCATCCCTCAGCATCCTCTTACCTTGGCTCTGGCCCTTAGCCAAGTCTGCTCCTTGGTTCTTATGCTAGCCTTGGCACTGACCCTGGTCTCACCCTGGTCATCTGTTCTTGGAACTGACTCTGGGCGCATGAGCAAGCACTGGGATTAGAAGTGGAACAGCCAAGTATCAAACCATTACCATTATGGAATGTTGACGCAGCAGCTGGAGGTATGTCACAGTCCCACTGTAATTTTATTTTTAAGATTTTATTTATTTATTAGAAAGTCAGATATACAGAGAGGAGAAGAGACAAAGAGGAAGATCTTCCGTCTGATGATTCACTCCCCAAGTGAGCACAATGGCCGATGCTATGCCGATCCGAAGCCAGGATCCAGGAACTTCTTCCGGGTATCCCACTTGGGTGCAGGGTCCCAAGGCTTTGGGCCATCCCCGACTGCTTTCCCAGGCCACAAGCAGGGAGCTGGATGGGAAGTGGAGCTGCCAGGATTAGAACCTGCGCCTATATGGGATCCCGGCACGTTCAAGGCGAGGACTTTAGCTGCTAGGCCACTGTGCCAGGCCCAGTCCCACTTTTACTAAACTTGTAGTAGAGACAGTCATTTTTAGCCTTCTCAATAGCATTAAATGTCATCACTAGGATTTTTTAAGTACAACAAAATTTTTATTTAACAACAACAACCAAAAATGGTTAAAGTCCAAGAGGCCCTTACATTCAGAGGGGGGAAAAAAGTGACTAGAAAAAAATTTATCTTAAATATCCTACAGGGGCTGACATGACCTCTGACTACGGTGCTGGCATCCATATAAATGCCAGTTCATGTCTTGGCTGTTCCACTTCAGTCCAGCTCCCATTTTATGGCCTGGGAAAGCAGCAGAGGATGGCTCAAGTTTGTGTGCCCCTGCTCCTACGTAGGAGACCCAGAAGCAGCTTCGGCCTCCTGGCTTTGGACCAGCCCAGTCCCAGCAATTGGGGCTTTAGGAGAATAAACCAGGAGATGGAAGAAATCTCTCCCCCCACCTCTCCCTCTCCTAGTAACTCTTTCAAATAGTTAAACAAGTCTTTAAAAGCAAGTATGGCTCTCGGTCACGAATCATGTAGTGAACCCATCCCAAGCTTTGTGGGACCCCGAGTCTCCCCCACTCCTCCTCACACAGCAGGTGGGTTTGGAGAGTTCTGTAGGTAACATGATGTGCTGATACTGATGCTCATTGAAGTTCTTATCCAAGTAAGAACTACTTGTGAGCCATCCTGCCATCGTGCAGCAGACAGGGAGGGACTAGAGTGGAGAGTAGCCACAGGCACAGCAGGTCCCCTGTTAGATCACATCACTGTTTCTATTGACCACTGTCTTCAACCCATGAGTTTTTTTTTTTTAAGATTTATTTTTTATTTTATTTATTGGAAAGGCGGATATACAGAGAGGAGAGACAGAGAGGAAGATCTTCCGTCCAATGATTCACTCCCCAAGTGAGCGCAACGGCCAATCTATGCCGATCCGAAGCCAGGAGCCTCTTCCGGGTCTCCCACACAGGTGCAGGGTCCCAAGGCTTTGGGCCGTCCTCGACTGCTTTCCCAGGCCACAGGCAGGGAGCTGGAAGGGAAGCGGGGCTGCTGGGATAGAACCGGCCCCCATATGGGATCCCGGGCGTGCAAGGTGAGGACCTTAACCACTGCGCCACCACGCCGGGCCCCATGAGTTGTTTTAAAAGTGTTTCTTTCCAAATACCTAGGCAATTGTTATGTTTTCTAGCTTAATTGCAGTGACTATGTATATACCTTATTTTGATCCTTTAAAATGTGTTCACTTGGGGCCAGCAAGATGACTCAACTGTCTGATTCTCTACCTCCAAGCATTGGCATCCCATATGGGAGCTGGTTCATGTCCCAGATGCTCCACTTCCCACACAGCTCCCTGCTTGTGGCCTGGGAAAGCAGTCAAGGACAGCCCAAAGCCTTGGGACCCTGCACCCGTGTGGGAGACCTGGAAAAAAGTTCCTGGCTCCTGACTTCGGATCGACTTGTCTCTGACTGTTGCAGACATTTAGGGAGCAAACCAGCAGATGGAAGATCTTTGTCTTTCCTCTCTGAATATCTGCCTTTCCAATAACAATAAATCTTAAAAATATATATATGTTGGTTTACAGTCCAAAAAATGGTCATTTTTCTGTGCTTTGTTTCCCTGAGAACATGCACCTGCATTAACTACTTCTGAATTTCACATGAAGGACTCATTTAATCAGGCTCTTCTACCCCTAGGCCCTTGAACTTGGGCTCACCTCTGAGGTTGAACAAGAACTAGGATGAAGATTTGCACCCTTAGGAGTTGATCCCAAGAATCTGGTGACCACAGATAATGATTTCCGGTTACACTGCCTTCATTACACTCTTTGGCCCATTTGTCTTTCTTTTCTTTTTAAAGATGTATTAATTTTGATTCGAAAGGCAGATCAGATTTATGGAAAAAAGAGAGACAGAAAAATCTTCCATCTGCTATTCCACTCCTCAGGTGGCACCAGCAGTTAGCTGGAGCTGAGCCAATCTGAAGCCAGGAGCCAGAAGCTTCTTCCAAGTTTCCTATATGTGTGCAGGGTCCCAAAATTTTGGTCATTTGCCTTCTGTGGGTGAAAAAGGAAGACCTTTCTGTTCATTATAATTGCATGTTTACTCCTAGTAATATCCCTTTCTTTAAAATTTATTATCAAGTACAGAAGATTTTTGGTTTGTGTGTGACATCATAAATTATTTTACTGGCCAATTTTTAGTATCCACATTCTAGATTTCTGTTGGAAATTATGTTTAAAAAGAAACAACTGAGAAGAAGACAGAGTACTGCTCTTGGACTCTAGTTTTCTCCCACAAATGCCCAAAATAGACAGGGCCGGGCCAGGCCATGCTAAAGCTGGGAGCCTGGAACACGGCTAGCTGCACCAAGACTCCTGCCTCCTGCCCAGGTCGACATCAGGAAACTGGAGTCAGGAGCTAGAGCTGAACTCAGACTTGAGCACTCAGATGCAAGATGTAGGTCTCTGCAGCAGTGGCCTCACTGCCAAGTCAAACACCTGCTCCTGGAGTTCCTGCAGTCATCTCAGTAGCCTCGGTGCACACAGCAGAACTGGTGTACACAAAGCATAAAATGAACATTTTAAGAATTAAAAACTGCTAAGATTACATTTGTCTAGTATGCTTCTATATATCCCTGAATCCGTCCATGCTTTCTTAGTCATTGTATAGCCTTATGGTAAGTCTTGACACCCAAGGTTGGCAAGTCATTTCTTCATCTCTGCTTCCTCCTCTTTATTTTTTTTAAAGATTTATTTATTTTTACTTGAAATGGATATTTATATAGAGAGAAGATACACAGAAAGAAAAATCTTTGGAACATTGGTTCACCAGCTGATCCAAAGCTGGGAGCCAGAAGCCTCCTCCAAGCATCCCATGTGGGTGCAGGGACCCAAGAACCTGGGCCATCCTCTATGCTTTCCCAGGACACAAGCAGGGAGCTAGATGAGCAGTGGAACAGCCAGGCCACAAATCACTACCCATATGGTATACCGGCTCTTATAAATGGAGGTTGGCCTATTGAGCTGTACACTGGCCCCTGTAATCTCTTCTCGTAGATCTTTGTAGTTCCTTTTTAAAAAAATCAGCTTATCAAACAATTAGGAAATTAGAAAAACAGAAGGGCCAGCACATACTGTATTCAGATTTACTGAATAATTTCAGCTTCTTTTTTTGCACAGCTGTTTTTGGCTCAGCTTCCCCCAGTGGAGAAGCAGGTAGCCGACCCTAATGATGAAGGGTCATCCCCAATTTGCCCATCCTGACCCTCAACTGTCCACCTCAAATGCCAGTGAGTGCCCAGCCCTGTGTCGGACACAGAAAGCCTTCAGGGAAGAAGTAACTGTGCCTGGAAACATCTTTCTAGGGACACCAATGCACAGGGCCAGGAGATGATGTCACCTCAGCCACTTCCCTGATAGGAACAGTTGGGGAGCAGACACCAGCAGAGCCAGAGCCATTTGAGGCTTTCATAGTAAATCCCAAATACTGAACTAGAGTGTTTAATGTTCTGAGAACAAAGCTTGGCTTCCCAGGATGAAGCCACCGCACTCTGCATTTTCCCTGGATGGTTCTACAAGAATACCTACATCAGGACGCAGTGCCCTAGAAACCTGCATTCAGGTAGGTGTCACCATTCTGTGTAGTGGTCCTGGACAGCAGTTCAGCTCAGTCTTTCTGTAGATTAAGTCAGCAGCACACAGATGTGAGGGCTGCAGAGCATGGACCACAGGTCTCCTCTGCAGGGCTGGGCACCCTCATTGCCTTGGCTGGGACTGTGACCTGTGCCTCTTTGAGACCAGACCTCACAAAGACAGCACATCACAGGAGCGGGACCATCTGTGGAGCAGCCCAGTGTGGTTGCAGGAGTCCTTGGAAGCCTGAGTCTGGCAGGAGGACAAACAGCCTGGGCGGTTGTGAGAAGCAGGTAAGCAGCATCTGGGCCAGCCATCTTATCCTTCTGGGATGAAGGGCCGGATCAGCTCTGGATTCAACAGTGACTCCTCAAGAGGCCGGTCCACATGGAATTCATGGACATGAGGAGGCCCTGGGTGGGCCTTGGGGGCAGGTCCCCCTGGGCGCTGAGGAATGGGCAGCTCGGATGGGTGGGCAGGCAGAGGAGCTGTGAAGAAGTACTGATGCAGGAGGGCCTGGGGAAAGCAAGAGGGAACAGCAGAAGGAAAATCATCATTGCCTTGTCCCCAGCCTCAGGCCAAGGGCCATGGGCTGACCCATGCATTCAGCTGATGCAGCAAAGCTTTCCTGAGAATATACTACGTCTCAAACATCATTCCAGAGACTGAGCACACACAGGTGATGAAGACAGACAAAAACCCTGCCTTGTGGGCATAGATAAGAAAGGGGGAGGGGAAAAGCAAGAGAAAGAAAAGGATCAGTGTTAGGGAGCAGAGAACGGAAGGGGGTGACAGGAACTCAAAGAGAGGTGGCAGGTGGCACAGTAGTGAGGGCCTCCTACAAGACAGTGAGCAAAAGGTCTGAGTCCTTGGGACAAAGGCAGGTGTGATGGAGAGTGCTCTGCGCCAGGAGCAGATGTGCAGAAACCCCAGGGAAGGTCAGAATCCTTCCTGGGGCTGGAAAGGGGTGAAAAAAAGAGTGGGCAGGGTCCAGATGTGACTGCATCTAAGCCTGCAATTCCTGTGGGTCAGGAGAAGGACCCTGGCTTTCCCTGCAAGTGAAAGCCACAGGAGGGCCCAGCCGAGGACAGCTGTCACCTGCTCTGCTTGGACAAGATCACTTTACCTGTCAGGTGGGAAAAGAAGAAATGGGACAAGAAGAGATGCAGATTCTGGAAGGCAGCTGAGCAATAGTGGAGACACAGGAGGCATGCACAAACACAGGCTTTTGGTGCCAAAAATGGAGAGAAGAGGTGAGGAAGTGAGGTAGCAGCCTACAGGAGCATACGTGCCTGGGACCTAGACCCCAACAACTACCCACTCACCATTCCCCACCTTCTAGCCACAACCAGCCTTGCTGGGCCCTCCCACGAAGCTGCTGCTTAGGATTCCTCTCTTAAGCAAACACCGCCTCCATACTTGAAACTGTCCTGTCTGGAAGCCTGCCTTGGCCCTGCCCCGCACCTGAGGCTCCCACCACGATCCTGTGACTAGCAGGCTGCATGGAAGCCCGGGGTACTGATCTGCTATTCACCGACTGTGTAGGGCCCAGGATAATGCCAGACCACTGGCCTCCAGCCTACCTGGGAGGCCGCGATGCGCTGGCGAGGAGGGTATAGCAGGAAACGACCCAGCAAGTCCAAGGCCTGAGGAGAAGCATCGGGCAGCACCTCCTCCAGGGGCACGGGTGCTTGCTCCTTGAAGGAGATCTTGTTGTAGTCGGGCAGCTCTGTAATCTCCTGGGAGGTGAAAAGGGGGAAGCGTGTGAGAATACACTCTCCTCTCACTGCTCAACAAGGCCAGGCCTCAGTCACTGTTCTCCCATTCACATGCCCCCATCTAGCTAGCTGGGATGCAGTGTGTGCTAGGTGGGGAGGACAGAGACAGGAACCGACAATGGACCAGCACAGTGGTACCATCTGGTCAAGGGCAACTGGAGTCATGAGAGAGAAGGTACAGGGAAGGGGAGCAGCTACTTGCTGCTGCTGCTGCTGGAGCAAACCTGTCCCCACAACCCCCCCACCACGGGCCCCGGCAAACCGGCCAGACTTGAGGGCTGGGGGTGCCCAAGATGCGAAGCACACAGCAAAGCTGTTCGATGTCATTCTCGCCCGGGAAGAGCGGGGACCCGTTCAGCAGCTCCCCCATGATGCAGCCTACGGCCCTGTGGACACAGAACCCCAAAGAGCTCACAGCCTTACACCATGGGACAGACCTCCCACATCAGCTCCAGCACCTCACACCGGGGGTTCATGTCTAGAGGTGCAGACTTCCAAACAATCAAAGACTTGAACCCTTGAACACACAGCAAACCCCCAACAGCCTGCAGTCCCTTGTTGCTCTCAGACACACGGCTCTTCCTCCCCCAGCTCTGGGGTAACTCTGCAAAACAGCCCCAAATCTCAGACTCTGAGATACCACAACCATCTTCTCCCCAGAAAGGCTCAGAGACTTCCCACCCTAGGACACAGCTTTTCAGGAGAGATGAGCAAAATCATCCTAGTGTCACAGTGCTGCACACACCCACTGCACCCCTGCCCCAGGCCACAGGCTGCCACCCCAGAACCTCCTTCCTCCCACCTCACCCCAAGCTGCTCTAAAAACCTAACAAGGGCAGATCCCCACCCTAACCAGGCAAGCTGGAGCTCACACCACAGAGGGTCATGGCCAGGTTGCCCCCTTGCGTGGCATGGGAGTCTCACCACAGGTCGACGCCCTGGTCATACTGGCGGGCACCATACAGGAGCTCAGGTGCTCGGTACCACCTGGGGGAGAGTTACGGGTCATGATTGGGCCACTGGTTGGATAGGAGGCATCCCACCTCTCCTGTGCCCACACACAATATCAGCATGCCTTCCCCTGCAGGAGGCCAAGGGATCCGCTGCCCACTACCTGGTGGCCACCTGGTGTGTGTACAGGCGGCTGCCATCTGGGGAGAAGACTCTGGCCAGGCCAAAGTCTGCTATCTTGAGCTGGCCTGAGGCACTGATGAGAAGGTTGGCAGGCTTCAGGTCCTGGAGGTATAAGAGGAGATATACATCCCTTCACATTGCCCACAGGGCTTGAGAGATGATGTCAGCCAGGTCCCCTAAAACCCTCAGTCTCCCTCCAACTGCACACAGAAGGACTGGCCCACTCCAGCCCATACAGGGACTGACCCGATGCACAATGTTGTTGGCATGGCAGAAGGCGACACCCTTGAGCAGCATCTGCAGGTAGCTCTTGACCTGCGCGGGAGCCAGCGGCCTCTGGGCATGGCGTACCACCTCAGCCAGATCTGACAGCATGAACTCAAAGGCCAGCACGAAGCCCGCACCATGCGGGAACACAGCCTTCAGCTGCACCACCTGCAGGCAGGGACAGTCACATAGGACCTGGATTCAGAACCAGGATGTTGGAGGTCCAGCACAAAGCCCACGCCACGTGGGAACATAGGGCCAGCATGAAGTCTGCGCCATGCAGGAACACGGCCTTCAGCTGTACCACCTGCAGGCAGGGCTGATGACGCAGGACCCAGACTCAGAACCAGGATGTTGGGGGTCATGCTGGTTCTGTTCTCCTGAAACAAGACATGACACTGAAGGTCATTTAATGGCAGTATCTGGGTCCCTAACCCAGCCCACAACACAACACAGACTTCCTGTTTCATTGACAGCCATAATGTCAACAACAGGAAAGGGTACTGGGACTCACACCTTCACAGTGCTGGCATACATCCTGGGGTCACCAGTGTCGGAAGGGCTGACTGTCACACACCAGCGAGTTAGGCAAATGGGAACGAATATACTCATTAGTGTGCTAAATAGTTAATAAACAAACCAAGAGGATATGTTCATGGCTGATCAATACAAGACAGACATATGAAGGTAATTCCAAAAGTTTATGCAAAATGGAATTTTAAAAACTTTCACAACAAAAAAGAATTTTGAAATCTATAGTTTTTTCACAATGAGTAGTTTTTCACCAAACTCTCTGAAGACCTCTTCTACGAGAAGGTGGTGTAGTTTTTCCAAGTAGAAAAAGTGATTCCTTATTTCCCTAGGGCAGGGGCAGGGAAGGACTTCTCCGAGCTGGTTATGCGCAAACCTGGGCAAAAGTGCCAGGCGGTAGAAGTACAGGCATGGTGGGCACAGGAGGCTGAAGGACATGAGTTCACAGAGCTTGCTTGGGGAAGGGATGAGTCTGCTCTGTTCTCTTCTTGGAAAGTGGAGCAGCAAAGCCAGCTAGGGACAGGCACAGAGTGGAGGTACCCTAGATGTGAAGGGAAGCCACTGTGGCTCGGTAAGCGGGGAAAGGAGGAGGAATCAATCTGCTTTGACAGAGCTCTCTGAACTGTGGCCTTGGCAGCAGTGCGGGGGATGCTGCAGTCTTTCTGCTGAGTGGCAAAAGCGATCCAGCCAGGTACAAATCTAGAGTATTTTTTAAAGATTATTTCATATGAAAGTCAGAGTTACAAAGAGAGAGGGAGAGATAGATTATCTACCCACTGGGTCACTCCTCAGATGGCTGCAAAAGTAGGGTTGATCCAGGCCAAAACCAGAAGCCAGGAGCTTCCTCCAGGTCTCCTACATGGGTAGAAGGGGCCCAAACACATGCCATGCTCTACTGCTTTTCCCAGGCCATGAGCAGGGAGCTGATCACAAGAGGAAGAGCAGGGACTCCAACCAGCACCTGTACGGGATGCTGGCATTGCAGATAACAGCTTTACCTGCTGTGCCACCATGCCAGCCCCTGAAATACGCTGTGTAGAACCTTCAGGACCACTGACCACTGCACATTGACCACCTCTGTCCTTATGGAGCTCTTTCCTCCTACCCCAGTAAGGGCTGTCCAGAAGTTATTTTATTTTCCCTCAAGATTAAAATGACTTTATCACCATTTTCCTGGTAGTACACAGCCATTTTACACAGCAAATCATGTGCACATTCAGCACACAAAATTATATCAGAAAGAAAAGGCACACTGCCTGCACTCCATCTTGGAGTATACTCTACCAGTGTACCCTGGCAGACTTCACAGTAAGAGGCACACACATACACATACACACACTAATATGGGTAAGAGTTTTCACACAAAACCGGTACGATACAGAAAGCTTGTCATCCCATGTAAACTGGACATCTGCAGGAGACACGGATGCAAGTCAAATGGCGTGTGCTTAACTCTGCACCATCACCCGTCACGGACATGAGCTCCGTACTCCAGCGGGAATAAAACCTGACTACACAGGGTGTGAGGAGCGCCTCTCAGTGCCATAACACTTCCCAGTAAGTTATCACAGCACAAATCAGATTCTGGTACCCTCGTCACCTCCTCTACTTGGCACACAGAAGGTTCTGGAAACTGGGTTGGGCCAGCTCCTCCCCAGGCCACCAGAACACACCGAAGGAAGAGCGAACCACCTTCAACCAGCAGCTGAGGAATGCGAAGCTGGCGGTGACTGAGCCCTGAGACTCTGAAACCCGCCGTGTCCAGCAACGATGGTGTAAAAGAACCCACACGGCCAGCCGAACACAGGCGGAGCCCAACAAGTGCTTTCCCCTGACCCTCAGAAATCACTGAACAGAGAACAAAAAAGCTGGTAAATAAATGACAGCATGAAAATCCAGAGACTCAGTGAGTGAGGAAACTGATCAATAAAGATGAAGAAGCAGGAATAAAGCAGCAAACGAATGAGCAGAGTGAGGAGGGGGCAGGGCGTTTGAATGGGGGTGGATCAGTGTGAGTGAGATGGGCCAATGCCATTACCCAGGACCCCCCCACACACCCTCCAAGCTGGCCCCCACTCACATGCTGATTGTCCTCGATCTCCTGCAAAGCCTTGATCTCCCGCAGCGCCTGGTTGGGGATGCCATCCTCCAGCCGTCGCAGTGCCACCTTCTTGAGGGCAACTATCTCCCCAGTCTGCACAGGAAAGAGCCAGTCTGACCCCGAGATGGAAACAAACAGGGAAGGGGGCAGGACGAGAGAGAGGCGGCAGCCCAGCAGCAGAGTGGCAGCTGAGTAAGAGGGAACCAGAGAGGAGCCGCGCCCACCACCAGCGGTCCTGCACACGGGTCAATCCCACCACCGCGATCTGAGCCGCACGGGGACCAGGCTCACCTCTACGTGCTTGGCCTTGAAGACGATGCCATGGGCTCCCTCGCCAATGCGGCCTAGAATGCAGTACTGGTCCATGGGGCGCCCAGGCTCTCCGCCTAGCCCACCGCTCGCAGACGGACGCGGTCGCCTGGCAACCCCGGGGTGGGACCAGCGAAGTGTGGGCGCGCGGCGCAGCACACGACCGCGCACCCAAGCTGCCTCGGTCGGGGACAGTGGTTCTCAGCCAGCGCGCCTTTCTTACGTCTCCGCTGCCACGCAGCAGTGGCGTTAACTCCACAGAGGTCACCCACGCGCGGACAGCTTCCCGGCGGCGCCGTTTCACCGAGCAATGGCTGCCGGACCGGGGTCACCTGACGAGGGCGAGGCGGGGCCACGCGCTCGGGGCGGGCTGCCAGGCGAGGAGGCGGGACAGGCAGCTCACCCTGCAGGGCCGAAGCTGCCCACCCTTAGGGAGGGTGCCCATTTCCGCAGCAGGGCCCCAGCACCTGTGATGAAGGCAGGGGAGCCCGGGGTGCGTCCTGGAGAGGTTTAGAGCTGAATCCACAGCTTTTAAAGAATTTCTGAAAGATGCGCAACCTTACCCACAATAAAACAAAGGAAAAATGGATCTACAGTTTCCCCGACTCATCAAGTGGAATATCATGTGCAAATTGAATAAGGAATGCTTTTTTTTTTTTTTTCTGTCCAGGGTTGGGCTAAGCAAAAGAGGCAAGGTGCAGAGCACCACCAACTGCGCAAACTAAAGCACAGAAGAACCCTTGTTGGTGTGCATCTAGTGCGGCGGACATCGCGCCGTATGCCTGCAACCCGTATCCAACTCCCAGCTCTGCTCTTGCTTCCAGCTTCCTGTACACCACGGGAGGTAGCAATTTATGGCTCAGACATCTGGATTCCTGCCTCCCTCTTGGGAGACACATATTGCAGTGAGTCTGGTGCAGCCCCGCCTGTTGCAGACATTTGGGAAGTCAGTCAGCAGATGGAAGATTTCTCAATCGCTTGCTGTAGCTGTCTTCTGCCTATGCCTCTGAAATGAATAAACTCATTTTTTTCTTTAATGGCGTGAATGCAGTGAGAACATGATGGTTTTCAGTAAACACTGCTGGGTTGTTTGATACATTGTATGGGGGTGGGGCTATATTCTGATCCAGACTTCATCCTATCATAAAACCAACCCAGATGGACTACAGAGCTAAATGTGGATGGTAAATAATGAAGCTTTATTGCGGGGGCGGGGGGGGGGGAAGCATCTATGAGAAACAGAATATCTTGTTTGAAAGATTCGTTTTATTTGTTTATCTTATTTGAAAGGCAGAGTTACAGAAAGAGAGAGAGAGACACTCCATTCCCCCAGATGTCTTCAACAGCCAAGCGGAACTGAGGAGCCCAGAGCGTCAGTGTGATCTCCCACACAGGTGCAGGACTGCCACGTCACTAAGTCATATAACTTCATATATCCACCATAATACATGAGATGTAATGCTAATCAAAATGCATAATAACCAGAGACATACAAGAATTCTTGCACGGTGTAGAGCTCTTACATTGCCCAAATCTAATAACAACCCAAATGTCTGTCTACAGTAATGAATACACAAATTGCACAATATTTACTCTATGAAATTTTATATAGAAATAAAAATGAATAAAGTATCAAGGCTGTCAACAACATAAAAAAATCTCAAACCAGTAAAAACACTGGGCATAACATGTATTATGTATAATACATATAAAATACAAAATAAATCTGTGATATAAGAAAATGGAAGTGTAGTGAACCTCAGAAAGCGACTGGAAAGGGCCGAGGGGGAGTGCGGAAGCTGTTGAGAGCAATAAACTAAAAACTTGTGCAATTTTCTCTGTTCATAACATTTAAAAAATATAAGGACATATTGTAGAAAACAATCCATATATTCTGGTTTCTAAAATGTAACTTAAAGTAATAGAACCAGGTCTGGAATTGTGGTACACCAATTTAAGCTGCCTGCTGCAATGCCGGCATCCCACACGAGCTAGAGCCTGAGTTCTGTCTGCTCCACTTCCCATCAGCTGCCTGCTAATGTGCCTGGGAAGGCAGTGGAAGAATGCCCAAATATTGGGCCCATGTCACCCACAGGTGAGGCTGAGATGAAGTTCCAGGCTCTTGGCTTTGGTCTAGCCGAGGTCCTGCTGTTACAGCTATTTGAGGAGTGAACCAACAAATGGAATATATTTCTCTCTGTCTGTCTGTCTCTTCCTCTCTCTATGTTTTTTTTTTTCAAATAAATAAATAAAATTTCTAAAAAAAAAAAATCCACGATGAGGGCCTGTGCACTAGCCTAGTGGCTAAAGGCCTCACCTTGCATGCTCTGGGATCCCATCCCAGCAGCCCGGTTCTAATCCAAGCTTTTCCATTTCCCATACAGCTCCCTGCTAGTGGCCTGGGAAGGCAGTCAAGGATGGCCCAAAGCTTTGAGACCCTGCACCTGTGTGGGATACCCAGAAGAAGTTCCTGGCTCCTGGCTTCAGATTGGTTCAGCTCCAGCTGCTGCGGTCGCTTGGCGTACTCCAGCAGACAGAAGATCTTCCTCTTTGTCTCACCTCCTCTGTGTATATCTGACTTTCCAATAAAAATAAATAAATCTTTTTTAAAAAATTCAAAATGAGCCATTAGAATGGCAACCATCCAAAAATTAAACAAAATGAAACAGAAAAAAAGATCAAATGTTGTCAAAGATATAACAAACTGGAACATTTGTGCACTGATGGTGGGAACATGAAATAGTACAGTTGTTATGAAAAGCAATGTAGTAGTTCCTTAAAACATTAAACATAAAATACCATAAGGTCCAGAAATTTCACTTCCGGGTTAAAAATCAAGTTGTGAATGAGATATTTGTACACTTGTATTCTTAGCAGTATTATTCACAACAATGGAAAGTGGACACAGGGTCCAGAGTGGGTTTATCAGGGATGGTTAGCAGGTTAAGCTGCTGTGATGCCAGCATTATCCCCTATGGGTACCGGTTCAAGTCCTGGCTGCTCCACTTCCAATCCAGCTCCCTGATAATGTACCTGGAAAAGGAATGGAAGATGGCCCCAAGTGTATGGGCTCCTGCACTCACGTGTGAGACAGAAAAAGCTCCTGGCTCTGGCTCCTGGCTCTGGAGCAGTCCAGCTCTGGCTGTTAAAGCCATCTGGGGATTATTGGAAGACTTCTTTCTCTCTCTACATCTGTTTCTCCCTCTCTGGAGTTCTTTCTAATACATAAATATGTTTTTAAAAGGGAGTAACAACCCAAGTGCCCATCATTGGTTGAATAGATAAACAAAATATTACAAATATACACAGAGTGTTATTCAACACTAAAACAAAGAGACTTCTGATATATACAATGACAAGGATGGATCTTTTTTCTTTAATTATCTGTTTATATTTAAAAGGCAGAGTTACAACAGAGAGAAGAGAGGGAGAAAGAGATCTTCCACCCTCTAGTCCACTCCCCAAATGGTCACAACAGCTAGAACTAAACCAGTCTGAAATCAGGACCCAGGAGCGCATTCCAGTTTTCTCAGTGGGTCCAGGGACCCAAGCATTTGTGCAATTTTCTACTGGCACTCAAATGGGATGCCCATACAGGCCGAGGCTTAGTTTGATATTGCACAGCTCCAGTCTCAAGGATGAATCTTGAAGGTATTAAGTAAAATAAGTCAATCGCAAAAGGGCAAATACTGTATGATGGTACCCAGAAGAATCCAAACCACAGACAGAAAGTAGAGCAGATGCCCTATCTAGAAGCTGCACCTCAGCTGAATCTCTTGGCTTTGGTCCACCTGCCTTCAGTCCGGCCTCTGCTCTGTCCATCTGGGTGATGCAGGTAATCTACAAGATGTGCTTCAGCAGCCACTGGCAACCCATTGTGCCTGCTGCCTGCATCAATGTCCTGAGATTCTCTTGGGCCGGAGATCACAGCAGCAACTTCCTCGGTGACCAGGGTTTGGGCATGGGGCTAATAAAGAAAACTACACCAGAGCGAGTGGCATGGGAGATATATACCTGGGAACTCTATCTGGCTCTCCACCTTGGGCAGCACAGACCTGGGCACTTGAGCCTTCACCACTGCCTTCCAGTATGCATTAGCAAGAAATTAAAAACTGAAATAGAGTACTTCTATCTCAAATTAAACAATCTGATATGACATGTGGGCATCCCAGTTGGTGACCAGGGGTTCAACAGGTAACATAGGGCAAACAGTGGCAACTCAGGAACACGGGTAGGAGATGGGTCAGGGCTCCAGGACACCCATAACCGTGTCTTCTTTTAAACAGCAAATCTAACTTTTTGGTGAATGGAACTTCTTGCTTGAAATCAGGAGACTATCTCTGACCCCTGGTGCTGATGTGACTCCCTTGAAAACTACATTCACCAGCTTCTACAGATACTGTGCTGTGATTCCCCCATACCATTTCCCCGCAACTCCCTACCACACATCGCCTTGTAGCTCCAAAAGAAGCCCCCAAGGCCTCCCCTGCAGCAGAGTGGTGGGCCTGGAGATCTGGAAGTCTGCAGTACCCTCATCTGCTGACAGATTAGATATTCTCTTTGCTTCACCTCCAAACCCAGCCTTCAGTATTGCGCAAGGCATTGGCAGCCAGGCTCTGCAACAAAGCTCCACACCCCATGTGGCTTAAACACAAACGTACTTTGTCACAGTCCTGGAGGCTGGCAGTCCGGGATGAAGGTGTGGACAAGACTGGGTCCTCTGAGGTGTCGCGCCCACGTTCCTATCGACCCGCAATAAGAGGCAGACGCGAGTGAAGTCTTCCGTGAAGTCTTCCGCGGTAGTCTTTATTGTGCACACCAAGATGATGAAGAGGAAGGCCCCGACCCAGCTCGTGCTCTCGCTCTTATCGGGGGTGGCTCCGCCCAGGAGGCGGCTTATTGGTGAGCCTCTAGACCACGTGCCAATCCTGCAGTTTGGATAGGGCAAGAGGCCTGTGCACGCGCTGATCACACAGCTGTTCACGCGTCAGCCCTCAGCGCATGCGCAAGCGCCTGCACAATACTCTCTAATGTACGTGACAGGAGCTACTCCTGCTGACGTGTTTATTTCCGCCAGGCGCCATCTTTAGGCCACCGCGTGTGGCAATCAACATCACCGCGTGTGGCAATCAACACTGAGGCCTGTCTCCGTGGCTTGTAGACGCCCTCTTGCCCCTGTGTCCTCACAGGATGAGCCTTCTGTGCGTCTGTGACCTAATCTCTCCTGCTAAGAACCCCAGTCAGATTGAACTAGGGCCTATCCCTATGACCTCGTCTTTCTTTCATTGCCTCTTGGAAGTCCATCTCCAAGTGCAGGC